CAAAGAATGAAAATCATATATCTTCAGCTTAAAAATAGGATAATTAAATTATCTATATATGAAAATAATTTAAAATAATAATTAAATATTTTTTAGACTGCAACATAATCCAGTGATTAAATAAAATATTAAAATGAAATAAATCTTTCACATTATGTCTCTAAAGTTGCACACGGAATAATAAATTTCTACGAGGTATTTGATTTTTAAAGTGTCTCAGAAAGTCGGATTTTTACGGATGTTTTTAATTACGATTAGCAATTTTTATTAAATTGATCGGACAAACGAATGAACGAACTGCAAATTATCCTTGCCGAGCAACGAACGACAACAGTGTTACCGAATAGTGTGCGGAAATTGCAGTGGTAAGTCATTATGAGCGGAACGATCTAATTGACATTAAAATTAATGCAGTCAGGGGCAATTTATTTACCACTTACTCCAAAGCTCCTGCTGACACCGGGCGAGTTACATTCGTTATTGGAGGCAGATACGATAATGATTAATGTGAAAACCGGTTTCAGCGAAGCCGCGCGTTAGGAAAAAGTGGCCGAATATGGCCACTTTATACCACTCAAACGCGATTCGAATTATGCCTGCCCCGAGGGTGCTTTTGGAATTGCTTTGAGCCATCCTGCAACACAGTGATTTCGTTGGATACTTAATTACTTCCGGGAACGCGCGAACCATGGCGATACGCGTATCGATCGACCACCAAATACGCTCGATCGATGCATGGACGGGCGAAGAAATTTGACGGATGACTTCTTCGCGTCGCGCGATCAGAAGCGAGATCGAACGATTTGCATACCGTCGGCCCGCTGCAATATGCAACGCCGAGGGGAACTTCGGGAAACCAGATGTATCCGCAAATGAATCCGTTTACGCAACAACGGCACGTTAATTACCTGACGAAAGGGATAACGAGTCAGTCTCTCTCTCTCTCTCTCTCTCTCTCTCTTTCTCTCTCTCTCTTCGTTTCTCGTATAAAATGTGAGAAAATCGCATTGATGAACTTTTGAATGATGAAGAGGACGAAATTGATATTGAACGCCCCTCTCTCTCTTTCTCTCCTTTCTATAACAAATAGAAAATAGAATTTATTTCTATCGAGTTCAAAGACCAGTTTATTTCTATTAATAAATACCACTCGATTCGACATAACAAAAACATTTTTAATATTTTATATTGGAAGGTAATAAAAAAAATTAAACCAAATGATCCATATTTAATCATAATAGTCAAAGATACATACGAACGATAAATTGAATATGCATGAGTACAGCGTATCAGCATTAGTGGCAATTATACAGAAGCGAAAACCATTTCTGCTATTTTCCGGTTTGACGTAACGCTTACCTGAAGCCGTGATTCCAGCATGGGGAAATCGCGTCTCGTAACAACCGATTCCCCTGGCGATGTAGCGAGAAAGCGAATGGGAACTAACATTGGGGAAGGGGGGGGGGCGGAGGAGGGGGATGGGGGCTGGAAGCAGTTCGTAACTCCTTGGAACTCGTTGGAACTGGTAACATCTTTGCTACTTCTCGAGTGACAACGGCGGAACGGGTTGCAAAGGCATAAAGCGACGTTCCCCGTCGCGAGACGCGCCGCCCGGCACACACGTCTTCGTAGTCTGACGCTTTGATCTTTTTTACGTACCGCGATGCCATCGGGGGATGCTGCGCTCTCCCTTCTGTGCTGAATGGACGGACATTCGAACCGTGTCCTTTTGCTACTTTTGACGCGGTGTCTTCGACTGTAAGGTTGACCGAAGGGGGTGGGAGAGAAGGGGAGGAGGCCACGTCGGGAGGTGAGAAGGAATAAGATGGCGCGCGGTAAAGAAAACGTATTTCTTCGCTCGTAAAATCAAATTTTCACCGGCGACGTGCCGGCGCGATAGCGTCATAATTATCTCGCGTCGTTGTAAACTTCGTTCGAAGGCAAATTAAATCGTTTGGCGAGAGCGCGCGTCGAACGAGAATTTCATCCCTCCTGGGCCTTTGTCGAACGCGCTAGAGCCGCGCGGTCGACTAACATAATATCGACGTATATCGACGTCGAAACCGCCCGTTAATCCATCGGTAGCAATAATTTTTGGCCCTAATTGCTCGATCATCTTCGATGAACTCGAAATTTGATATTTATGGGCGCGGATAATATTGGCAGCGAGCCGCGCGCGCGGCCAAGTTCCCATTATTCGTTCATAAGGGGATAATTCAGATAAACATACACGCGCGCGCGCGATGCAATGCGATGCGTCAATGTTACAAGCGCTTTAGCGTCGCGCGGCGATAATTATCGCGCGTTTCTCCGGCGCTCATTTAATATTTCAGGCGTGGCGTAAACAAAAGTGTATCGGATTTCGCTCCGGATGCGCGCGGCGGGACGGTCATATTGACCGGACGCGCGAAACGAGCGCCCGACATTGAGATCGCGCGGGGTGCGCGCACTCGTGTTACGTTGATAATCCCCCAATAAAACATACAGCCGGTGGATTTCGTACGGGTATACCGATACGAGTGATACAATACGTGGTACGGCGCATTTTACGCGGCATTATGCTCCCATTATTAAAACATATTACCGGCGTCCGTCGCGCGCGCGCGGGGCAGCAACCCGACGAGCCCTGCGGAGCGCGAGCGTAACGCCGATAGGGTTGATAGATCACGCATTTCCCTGACGCCCCCGTCGATGAGCCGGAGCACGGGACGCGCGCGGCTATTTCATTTTCCATCTCAGTGGATTTGCCGGGGCTAATCGATAATCGTACCACAGACACGCCCGACGACGCTCGCTGCGATAACAACCAAGCGTACGGGGAAGCAACTTCGCCCGGCATTGCGGCCATTCCGCAACGTTATCAACAGTCGGCAGCCGTTTGTTGCTGCCGTCGCAACAAACATATAATTTTCTCAAGTACGATACACCGCGAATTTAACGAGATCTCGTCCGCGTGTATAAAAATGCGCGAAAGACGTGGTGGAGCCACCCGAAGAATAATGTAGAAATTAGGAATATATCTTTTACAAGTACTTACATTTTTATGTATGCATATATAGATGCGTATATGTATATATAATACATATATACGACATCTTTTTTTAGACATTTCACGTCTGCCAATTCGGTAGCGCACATATCGAATTCCATTGAAAAATTCACTTCATTGCTAATTAATTTCTTATTAAAATTTATTCTAATTAAAGCTTTAAATTTGAAAAATCCGACCTGCATGCGACGAGCTTGCGAAGAGACGTGCGGCTTACGTCTTTTTACGCGTTGTTAAACGTAAGATTTCTTCGATATTGATTTCTCCAGGGTCCTCGAGACCACGCGCGCTATCGACTGCGGAAGTCGCCGGTTAAGCTCGTACCGTCGGCTGGTTACATCCGGTTGCTGGGAATACAGTTGGTCACGCGTCCAATGTAACGCGCCCGATCGAATCCACACTCCGGGTTTCTTTCGTGTCGGTCAATAGAGCGTCCGTGTTCGTCGCAAATTGCTGCCGGAACTAAACCGAGGCAATTAGCAAGCGTCTCTGCGTATGCGCGTTATTGAATTGGCACCGCGGCGACACGGGACGACACGCCGCCGTGTTCTGCAGATCTTCCCATTCATCCCCCGCTACACGAGCGCGCATTTCCGAAGCTAATTAAAATTATATCGCCATCGTATGCAGGCGCGCACGTCACATTAATAGCGCAGCGGGAATTTATTCTCGAAAAATGAGGTCGGTGACCGCGACGTCCCGTTCGCAGATTGACGGTAGAACGCGCGGTAACTGAAGAAATTTATTGAGACGAATGGTGCGCGACGCAAACAAAACCGTGAGAATTGCGGGTACATACGCCGTTAACGCGGCGCGTCGTAAAAGCACCCGCCCCGCTACGCCGGCCACGTTGCACCGAAATCACCACTTTCGCAACCGGAGAATTAAAAGGAGCCCGCCTAACGGTCAACGTAACGCCCCGGCGCGATTGTCGATCAACGTTACGACCCGCCGTTTGCCCCCGGGATCACAATCTTCGATGGCGGTAGTTGATCAGCGGTTTGCTCGCAAAAATTTATTTTGTCGGAGGAAAAATTTATTTATTTCGGGAGCGTATACGCATATATCTCGTATGTATAGGCTAGAAAACAAATGACTCTATTGATTCTCTATGGAACGTTTTCTATTTTATGAGACAAGAATGAAAGTTACACGCATGAAATGTGTCAAAATGTGCCATATATATATATATATATATATTATATGACGCATGCAATTTTAACTTCTTTCGAAACAAAATATCTAGTCAATCGCTCTCTACTATTGAATAAAATATCGAATAAAATTCGAATAAAAGAATAATATCACTTTCGACGTGTTTTCCGTCGCTCCATTTACGTGCATGTTGTACGTTACGCCTGCAGTGGAGCAAGTTCCATTTACTGGGTAACGTCTTTCCTGTTTTTATTAACCGATCGATCGACCTTACCGGGAAACTTTCGATCGTAACGGATAATGTCAACGTTGGAGTTTCGCGGTTTTGTTTGGCGGCACGCTATTGCTATGGTAACTTTGCGACTGGTTTGTGCGCGCGCACTTTTCTCCACCTTTGCACACGTCGCGTTTCCTTACGAAGACAAACTATCACCACTAAAAGAGACGATGAGCGACGTATTTCCGGTTATGTATACACCCGCGCCGGAATGAACGATAAGCCAATTAATTAAGCTGATGCCTAACGGTCACAAGTATCATCGATTCGTATCAATTGGTCGAGTTTGAACGGGGCTCACAGGTAAGGGTCACATTTGAAAGCCATTTAAACGACGCATTAATTAGCGGAATTACTGCATTAACGGTAATTGGAACGGAGAGCGATTGCCGCGATCTCTCGCGAGATCGTGGCTATTCACGTATATTTGCGTACCGCAAATGTCTCTTTGCACTATTAACGCTTAATTTAATATCCCAAATTAGTGAAGAACGTGTTTAATAATAAACTTGCCCCTTTATGACAGAAAATTTAATTCTTCGCTGCATCTTGTTTAACTCCCAGCGTCTTATTTTACACCCGACCTCATTATCATTTCAACGCTTTAACAATCCCATTTTGGCTTCAACTGTCATAAACTTATCTCTTCTATATTTATAATGTTCTCGTCTGTAATAAGTTGTATTCACTTGTATCAAAAATTACGCGTACGCGTGTCGTGCAGAAATGATCAGAAAAGTTGTTCCTAAAGATATCTCGTCCCGCTTTTAAAGCTTAAGGCACGATGGAAATTTGCACGCAGCGGCGGGCGGTGCACGTAGATCTAAGGTCTACAAATTTGAAAAGTTTTTCTTTTGAAGTTGTAGTATAAAAATCTAAAGCGGGAGAAACGTGAAGCGGGGCGAGAGACGCGCGAAAAAAATAACGAAAACAACAAGAGAAGCGAGGAGAAGCAGCGAGATGCCGATTGATTGTTATTACTTACCGCCAAGTCCACCCTGTCGCTCCGTTATGCTACTCGCAAAGGCCATAGGCATTCATCTTAACTACAAGATCGTAAATTTCACGAAGGGGGAGCATTTGACGCCGGAATATCTACAGGTTCTTTAGTTTACGCTGCTCTTATTTCCGCATAGATTTAGTAACTCTTAGTTCTCTTCAGTAACTCTTATAAATATAGGTTCGATCTGCAGGACAATAGAGACTTTATAAACAGGCGTTGAAAGTACAAAAAAATCTCAAGTTTTAAGCTGTCAGGGATATTTTAATTTAATTTGATTTTAGATTAATCCGCAACATACAATACCAACCATCAACGACAACGGTTTTATTTTGTGGGAAAGGTATCTGAGAAGTTTATATTTTAATCTCTGTAATCAAGCACACTTAACATTGAGCTGCAATCTGTGTTGTTACAGTCGCCCTATTATGACTTATTTAATCAGCAAATATGCGAAAAATGACTCCCTTTACCCGAAGGATCCGAAGGAAAAGGCCAAAGTCGATCAAATGATGTTTTTCGATGCTGGCAGTCTCTATTGTAATATGTTCAAATGCTATGTACGTATTGATTTGTTCCAAATTCTCTTTTTTTTTTTAATTAATATTACGACCGAGTCTACATCAGCGTTCACTGGATATTCTTAATGAAATTGATATTTTCTTGTCAGTTTCCATTCAATCACCCATTAATTCCTTTCCACAATAATTCGATTATAATTAAAAAAATGTCCTCTGCCTCCGGGACACTCGGAGCTATATTATATGTGCACAGTGTAATATTATACTCTGGCACAATTCTCTCTTTTCTTTGGTATCGCTTGTTGACACGAGGACGGATAATACATCGTCACCGTTTAGATGCCGGTGATCCGAGGTCTGGCCAATTCAGTTAACGAGGCAGATCTAGCTCGAGTGGAGAAATCGGTCGAGGTGCTCAACGCTTTCCTCGACGGCAGAGAATTCGCGGCCGGCGATAATCTGACCGTCGCCGATTTTACGATCAGCACAACTATCTGCACGATGCTGGTGAGTCTCCGCCTCGCGCGGGGGAATGACTTTATATATTCGATTAGTCGTCTACGCAAATATACCAACCGTAGACCGATTTCTCGATTGCAGTGTTTCGACTTCGATATCGGCCGTTACGATAACGTTGCCGCGTATTACGATCGGTGCAAGGAAAGCCTCGAGAGATTCGGATTCGAGGAGGTGCACGCTATGGGTGTTAAAGCGTTTACCGAGACGTACCACGCGAGCCTGCAGGAATCTAGTTAACGTGGATATGGATATTTGTGCACGCCTAAAGCGCGAGGAGGATCGATAGTAACTCGTTTACCTGAGATCGAGATTAGACATGGAATCTCATTATTATATACCTTATAGAATTTAAAATTCACTTTTTGCCCTCGCGTTCCCACGGCGTTTCAACGGCTCTGTTATAATAAACCAGATAATATAAGCGCTTTCAAAGCGTTGTTGTTATTGCATACTTAGCTTACCTAGCGGATTCCTTTGTCTAGACGTTACATCTTTGCGATAGCTACAGTTCTTTCTCCGTGCACGGAGTAGAGCGAGAGATTCGAATCAAATTATTAAAGTGTGTGTATAAAATTAAGTTTGACAAAAATATACTTCTGTAGAAACTAATTTATAATTAATTCTGCAACTGAAGATGACCTGTGTCTTTTTATCTTCCCCAACACTTCACCTCCTCTCATTACTTTTACAGCCATAACTTGTTCCTGTAAATGGGTGTCCACGATGAAATTCCTAAAGCTAACAAGAATCAATATTCATCCGGCAAATGTTGAAGAGAATATAATGGCAACGTCGAACCGTGAATTATATAAAGTCAACGGTGTCGTTATATACCTTGTCTTGTCATCATTACACTTCATTTTCTTAATTACAGCGTGACGTCCAGTCATGCAAAGCATAAAAGTTTTCAGGTGCACGAAACGTATTATTCTTCTTCAGCGCGTGTGGTGGGTAACGAGATAGATAACAATCATTGAAACAAGATAAAAGCTTAAAGCGATCGTTATTGATTTCTACACAGACAGAACCTTAGAGAGCGAAAGAAGAATAACACACACACGTTCCTATATTAATTCTAAATCTGTTAGAGAGTGACAGCTAAACGTTACTTGTAGCGCGCTGAAAAAGCAATAAAGAAGGAAGCATTAGAAAAACATAATGAGTAAAATGAAAAGGAAGAATAGAAGGAAAAGAATAAGTCTGTTTAAATGTTTTCAAACTCATTTTCTATCGTCTCGTCACGCAAGCGAAACAGAGAAAAAAATAAAAGAAGAAAGATGCTTATACATCGTCACGCGTGCAATATTGTTAATATTTAAATTTTATATCAACATATAATTTTCTTACACTCTCTTTATAAAAATCTTTAAAAGAGCATATGTATTTTAGGTAATTAGGGAAGAAATCGTTGATTTTACCCTTCTTCTTACTCAATTGCACTTGCTTAAATTAAGAATTGTATAAGTTAAAATTGTCTCAGTATCCGGAAAATATTTTTTTCACTTTAAACAAACGAAAACAATAATATAGTTTATTATTTTGTTGAGCCATGTCAGCAAATTTCTCTTATTTTTATTAAAATCGTGGCTTTTACTAAAGCTTGCACTAAAGAATCACAAAATGATATAATAAATTATTGATTTCTTTTGTTTAAAACAATTCTTTGTGAAAACAAATATTTTTCGGATATTGAGATAATTTTAATTACGATTTTTGGATTCAGCAAATAAAATTGAGTAAGAAAAAAAATGAGTCCAACGATCTCTGCGTGCTCTCCAAATTGCCTAAAATGGTTTAACCCCTTTGTTAAGAAATAAAATATAACGCTGTGTAAAATATGTCGCTAATTTTTTTATTTCGATTTGATCACAAAATAGAAATATAATGAGATATTTGATTTTTACATATAAAAACAGAACTCAGAAATTATAGATAGATCATATTTTAATTCATTTGAAATTTTAATGACGGTTTTAACAATATCGGATAATATTTTTGAAATTATGAATCATTAAAAAAAAATATTTATATGATTCAAATTTTAGAAATAAAAATAAATAATGCAGCTTTTACATTTATATCAGAAATATATTTAATGTATATAATTGTCGCACTAAGAATTGTATCAACACTTTATACAATGGCCATGTAATAATGTCAAAAATCGTGAATAGAGCATGGATTGCATGAAACAATAAAAAAATTAGGGACATGGTACGATATTCACTGAAAAGTTTAGTGGACGTAACTACGTCAAACGAGTAACTTCAACAACATAATTACAACATTCGCAATGACGATAAAAAATGTTATCGATGGTTTTAATATCTTATCTTGCAGTGAAGAGTCATACTTATCATGTAACTTCATTTAATTATATTTAGCTGTCCTCAATGCCGATAAGACGGGGGGGGGGGGGAGAAAAAGTACGTATCAGAATCCGACGCTCTAAAAAGAACTCGATAAGTCAGGTTTTGTTAAAAATTTTTTCATCTTTCTTAGTATTAGTTGATCGGTTAAAAATTTTTTTAATTGTAATGTAACCGAGATCTCATACATTCGAAAAAGAACATTTATAAAATATACGTTGCGCTAAAAAGAGAAAATAACTTATAAAAAGCTGTATTTGTACAATTACTTTAGTATTATAATATTTTTGTAATATTTCTATATATTATCAATATGAACAATGATGTATAAAGTATAATTTTAATAAAGTTTTTCTTCATTCATTTTATAAGTATTGCGCTTTATATCAGTTGATTTCTTCGACGGCCCTGGATATCCTCACGGATAATGTATCTTGCATGTATCATTTAATGGTTTATCTCCGCTAACGCTGGTAGTGGGTATACATGTGTATGTATTGGTTGCCCCTGCTGCATTATTACGAACAATTACGCAACAACCGGCGAGTAACCAGTGTATGACGATGACGAGGCGGGAATGCGTTTCACAGCTAGGATAGGATCCAGTCCGTTCTCGAAGGCGGCAAGAAACTTCTGTTGCCGCATTTGTCGGCTCATGCTGTCGAAGCGATTTTTCTTTTTCTCACTAGATAACCTTCCAGATATTTACAATTTATAAAATGTATAAAAAAATAATGTGTCTTTATCAGATTAATCTATAGTATTGTAATTTGGTATAAAGCACGAGAATATTACGTTTTATATAATTTGTATAATAATATTTAACATACATATATGTAATATGTAATAAATATAATAAAATAATTATTATATTTATTTCACATTTTATACACACAACATTATGTATTAAGTATACATGATATTTTTAATTATACATTTAATTAATAAATAGCTATAAAAAAGACACCTTTTCAAAAACAAGCTATTTTTCAAATGACTTGCAGTGGCATACTTAAAAACATGCACACATTTTCTCTTACGAGAACCAGTAAAAATCTACTTAACTTTAATTGGTGCTTAGGAAAACGGTCTATACAAGGTGATTCTAGTAACAGGGCTCTTTCTTATAAGATAAAGTGAAAGAAGAAAAGGTAAGCTTCCTAGAAATTCTATTCTCTTGCATCAACGCACCTGCAAAATGCAAATGTCTTTCTTTTTAAATAAAAATATAATTTTCATATATTAATCGGATATCTATTAATTGTTTTACATATAGAAAACTATCATGGTCAAAACTATAATATAGCGAGGTTTAACTTTAATGTCGCGACGTAAAAAAAAAACTTTTAACAAATGAATCCGATCTAACCGCTTATGCGATAATCTATCGACGTTATCAACTTAATCGCTTTACGTTAGTTAGTTTCGCGGAGAATTAATTTGCTTTGTAGGAAATTCCTAAGTATATAACTGCGTTAAAAGTTTAAACATGCGGCCGAACCGCAACTGGCTAATAATTCGATAGAGCTGCTTACGCGATAATGCTTCTCGCGTTCTCCTTCCGGAAAAGTTGCGCCACGGACGGTCAACCGCAACCGATTAAAACCGTCCGTCCAGTTTCGAGACACAGTCTCTTGAATGCGCGCTGCAGCATGCTAATTCGAAAAGCAGCTCGCATGAGCTTATTACGATCTTGACGTTATGTGCGCCGCACGTTTGCGTGGGAGCACGACGTTAACTTTGCGTAGATCTAGAAAAAAAGGCGCAGTTTTCATACATATAGCGTTTACGTACGCAGCCATCGATCGCGACTGTTTATCGTATTTGCTGACTATAGTCGGCGATCAAAATAATTGAAGCAATTTTTTTGTAGATAACTTACACGGAATCGCATTTAACTTGCATATAACTACCGCAGACGGTAGTTGCGATTGTTATAATGTTACATTGAATATTAATATACGCACACATTAAATTCATTCTGCTTCACTATTATTTCCGATTTATATAGAAATCACAGTTAGAATTACTGTAGTATACGAAGATTATACGAATTTCAAGATTGTTGCATTGCATTTGATATATTCTAAATAAAACAAGTATTTATTTTGTTCCTCAGAGAAACAAGGAATTTTGATTAAACATTAAAAACATCAAAATATTGCATTGGCTAACTGACAATTTATTCATTCGTAAAAGAGTCATTAAACATAAAAACGTGTTAGTTTACAGTTTATAAGCATGCACAAAGGCTAAAGCGTTATATAATCGGAAAAATAAAATTAAATGTCACGCACACGAGCGAGCGCGCGTACACACAGACGGGCGCGTACACATAGGAGCGTCCCGGTGCTCCGTTCAGTTGCGGATTATTTGAAGGATTTTCCTTCAGCAAATATCGAGTTAGGAAGGACCCATCTTTTTGATACACAAACCGAAGTATTTTAGTATCCGACCCTTAAATAAACATCATTTAGGTAAAATGTAAAGTTTGTTTAAAATTAAACTGAAGGAACAGAGGAAATGGAGAGGGGAAGGAGAGTTTGCCTCTGTGTTGTAACTTAGAAAAGCTGGATATCTTTCATTATTTCTCAAGAGAATCGTGCTCTTGCCCGGTATAACTATCCCTTTACGATTAATTTCGGCTTCGCAGCGTTTGCTCTCAGTACTCACGGTGATCATCGGTGATACCTCGTTCGTTACGATCCGCACGATGCTGCACCGCAACACATCGAGTGTACACGTCAGTGTAGGAAGGCGAAACCTTGAGACTCAAGGCTACGCAGACACTCGGACTCAATTGCTTTCACTTGCTACAAAGTGCCGTGTTGTCTAAGTCTCGGCGTTCCCGGAAGATGGTATTCCGTATAAACAGGCGACCCTGTGAAATTTACGTAACTTTCAGAAGAATCGAAATGAATGTGTGTCTGTAGCATTGTACTCCTCTCTTGTTTCGCAAACTTATTGCAGACTTTGTGTAACATAGAAAATTCACTTGTTCAACTGTAATTATCTCTGCCTTCTGAAGACTTTAAACAAACAATTAAGTTCCTTTAAGTTAGTCCGTAATTACATTAATGTCTTTCAAATTAAAGCAACTTAACAGCTGTTAGTTGACATCACATTCCTTAAAATTAAATATTTTATAAGATTTAAAGGAAAATTCTTTATTATTACAAAAACCACTTTATTTATACCAAAATTTATTTATTTATACTATAAAATTATCATTATTAACACAAAATAAGATACGTTCGTTAAGGAGCTAATGTTGCATTACCCAGTGGTGAATCAACGTCATTCTTTTTCCGCTGCCAATTCAAATCTCGCTGAATCAGTAAACCTAACAACGGCAATGCTGAACTTCAAAGTTTCCTCATAATGTGTAAAGATGAGCATGAGTTGCACATTTTTTGTATGGCGGCGAATTATCGACATGCTAGAACTAATTAGCGCTAGTTAGCCGATAAAGACTAGTATATACCTAGTATATATAGTATCTACCTCAAAAATGCTGAGTGTATCGCAAATTAAATCGCAGTATTTAAGTATCTGAACTGACGGGGCTTATCAGAATGCTCTTTAAGCAAGACCAACTTGTTAGCGGGGTTTTTTTTTTTCAATTTCGCGCAAATTTTGCGAATTGATACATTAGGAACGTAATTATTCGTATTTCGAAACGCTGAAACATTGAATAATGAATTTATGCAAGTTTCACCGAACTGCTAAAAATTTGCTGCAAAATTAGATAAGCGTAATGATAGCGTAGCGAGCAGGAGCGATTGGGTAGTCAGTAAGGTCGATTCGTGCCAAGTAGGGTATCGTTACTCGCCACTCGGACGCCCGATCTCTTAATAATGTAGGTATATCGCTCGTGCCTCGCTCGTGTTGCGAGAGAGAATTTTTATCGCTATTATGTAAATGGAACGTTTGGATCGCGATCGAGAAAGTTGTGACGAGGCAGGAAGGTGGCAACGCCTCCCCCCTCCTCTCGCGACTATACCTACATAGCAAGTAGTTTGAGAACCCCTTGACGCATAATCGATCTCACTCCCGCGTGCGTGCGGCGTAGAGGCTGTGCCGTGTTACGCGGGCTTTATAAATAGCCCGAACGAGCAAGTTGGTTAGACAGTCTGCCATAATCTCGTGCTACGCGCCTCCAGAGAATACAAACTGCAGGTTCGCAGCCCGGTTGTGACTTTTCTCAACCCGCCACATTTCTCTCCGCCTGTCACGAGCAATTCGCCAAAACTGCTAAAGTGATAAGGCCACTTGAACGATTGCGAATATTTGTGATTCACGGTGCGCGAGGTCGCGACTTTACAATAAAATTCGGAGTGCTTGAATTGCATTCCCTCGTTACGCGATAATTTATGAAACGTGGAAACTTGTTGGAGTCGTTTTCCATGTCTCTGCCCAGTGCCTAGTTGAATGTGTAAAGCCACCGGCGGTATGCACCGGTTCACTCTCATTATACCGTTAACTCACCTATAATTGACAAGTTTTGCTTCTGACTAATTGATAACGCAAATTTACGTGCCTTACATTCGATTCGTTTTGCGACAATGTCGACAGATTGTGTCGCCTGACGTTGTATCGCTCTCGCTGTTCTTCGTTCCCTCTCTGCTTTTCAGTCGCGCGCAAATAAATCAGTGTTGTGTTCTGTGTTCGATACACGAAAATTTCGACCTCGATCCGGCGCGTATCGTCGAAACTATATAGTTTCGCGCCGCGCTCGAATACTCCCGAATACCTTGACGCGCGATCGATCACGCTGACCACTTCATTAATAGCGCGTCGCGCGTTTTCGCAGATTTCAAGATGCCCATCGATCTTTACCAAGTTCCCGGAAGTGCGCCATGCCGGGCCGTGCGCTTGGCGGCGGCAGCCGTAGGAGTGGATATAAACCTGAAGAATGTTGATCTCATGGCCGGCGAGCACCTGAAACCCGAATTTATTAAGGTGACTTGTAATGGAGTTTTTTTTACAAAACGAAACATATAAGGATACAAGTGCCCGAGGATCCTTAAATTAAATTATCTTTATATCAAAGGCATAAGTACACAAAAGCAGTATTTAGAATTTCCTTATTTTTAAAAATAATTTATTTAAAAAATTTAGAATATTTTTCTTTGTTTAATATTTTTTTTTTTAAGCCGGTTTCTTTGTGAGTTTCTATCGCAAATTGCTTAAATGGCACTTCTTCGGAATCGATAATACTTGGCCTCGTATTGCTACCGTGTCGCTTAATGTTTATGTTGCGCAACATATTTATTGGCGTACTACGGTTTTTCATATTGAAAATATTGAAGGTGTAGAAACATTTTACGTAAATAACAAAATGTTTTATATAACGAAAGCATTAAATATTCTGTTTACATACATTTTATTTTTCTTTTCATACTGATTTTTTAATATATAAATTTACTTTGCAATAACATCGACATGCATTAATACGGCAAAGATAGATACACAGTAATTTATGATAAAAACTAAAAATTGTTCAAACTTTTTTTTGATTTTAAAAAACCGTTTCTTTAAATAACAAAATATATAGCATATTTGTGTTTTTAAATTTTCGTAATTGACTTATCGAATAAAAGAATATTCTAAATTTATTTAAAATCATTATATATTATTATACAGATTTAATAGATTTAATAGATTATATAGATTTAAAATTATTATTATTATTTTACGTTTTGTTTTTGATATAGATGAATCCGCAACATACGGTACCCACATTGGATGATAATGGCTTGTACCTATGGGAAAGGTATTCATTTATTAATCTTTTTATCTTAACATTTAACGAATGTTGCAATTTTCACATATATGAAATAAATATATTTTTCCCTATAATCTTCGACTTTCATGTTTTTTTAAGTTTAACTTACTATTAGATTTTATATTTGCATAAAGCGAACTGATTTCAGATTTGTATATACATATTAGATAGATACATACATACATATGTTTTTTACAAATTCATTCGTAAAATTAATGTTATTTATTACGTTATGAATTATTTACGAGCTTGCATCGATTTGCAGCCGCGCGATTATGACCTATCTGGTCAATCAGTACGGCAAGGACGATTCTCTCTATCCAAAAGACCCGAAAAAACGCGCCTTGGTTGATCAGAGACTATACTTCGACTTGGGAACTCTGTATCAATCATATGCCGATTATTACGTAAGTTAGCCTTGGATTGTATAATACTTTGTAAATCATACTCAATGCACAATGATTGATCAGAGACTCTATCAGAGTTGATGCCCATACATATACATGTATGTAAACGTTAATTGCAGTATCCGCTGGTATTTTCCGGCGTCACTCCTGAGCAAGCAAAATTTGATAAGATAAACAATGCCTTGAGTTTCTTGGACAAATTCCTAGAAGGGGAAAATTATGTTGCGGGAAAAACCTTAACTCTCGCTGACCTTACCTTGGTCGTTACCATTTCTAATTTTAAGGTAAGAAACTGATTTTACGCAGACATACATCATCGCGATTCTATCATTCATTAAATCGGAAATTTGTTAGTGTAAGATAGAAAAATTTCTTTCTTTTTAAATAAAATATTATTAGTTCTGTTGTTATTTGTAATATTAATTTTAAGTCAGTTTTTATGGTTTTTTTAATTTTCGTAACACTTCGCGCGTATAAGTATATTCATTGCAGACAAATAAAATAAAAAATACAAATTTATCAAAGATATATAGTTTTGCAAATTATTATAATAAAAATAACATTGACATAGCAATTTAAACTTAACGTTTCCCTTCTTGCAGCTTATAGACCACGACTTGAGTAAATATAGCAACATTCTGAGATGGTTTGCCAGGATCCAAGCCGAAGCTCCCAAATACAATGAAATCGAAAGCGTCGGTATAAAGGCATTTAAAGATTTTGTTGATAATCTTCGAAAAAAGAAGTGATCTCGTAACATAGATTTAACAGTTGTATAATGCATTGGTGCTTTAATATTTTTACAGTTGTCTTGTAGTATTTTTATATATCATAGATTTCGATTTTGCACAAATAAATTATGATTGTTAAACAAATTAAGCGAGTGCTAATTTAATGGCATTTAATATGTAGTAAAGACATGTAATATTTAGATTTAACAAGAAGCTTTAAAAATAAAAATAAAACAGAATTAAAAATCTGAATTCTGGAAAAACAAGTTCGAAATATATTGTTCTATTTTATTATTGATTTTTATGATGAATTAATTTTAACACATAAATAAATCGATAAACTTGAAATTTTAATTTAAATTTATAAAACTAAAATGACAGGATTAAAAAATATAACGATAAATTTAGCAATATTATTATTACGAATTATTTTTCTAAAATACGCATTATATTAGCGCAACAGAAAATAAAAAATTATGCGTATAAAAACTTTAATTAACTCACTTTAATTGTAAATAAATATTCAATTGCAAATAGCACAAAAATTGTATTTTATCCGTTATGTTTCCAAATATAAGATTAGTTAATATCCTATTTCGTCAGTCATCACTTTATAATATTGGAGGAAAGTTATTATTAAAATATCACGGGATAATATATGTTCTCCGCGAAATTTCGCGGGCGTAAAGTTGGAAATATTCTCACCTCTGCTGGTCACTTAACAACGGGAAAACTTTGAGCATAGTTTCCAAGAACGGTCTGCCTTTGGAGAATCTTGACCTCGCAGCATGGCTTTGTCACGAACAAAAAGTTTCCACGATCAGACCAAAATCCTTCCTCTTTCCACTTGAAATCTTGTTAACAGGTAAATTCCATCCTATCGGCCGTCGCAAAGTTATGTCATATGTATGCAAAGCAAAAAGCTACGCAGAGTTAATTAATAATTAATAGAAATTTTTATAAAAATTATTTTTCATTTACTCTGTTATGATTTACTTATTTGTTATTTATAAGAAAATTAATGTTATGTATACTTAAATATAACGTGTGTTTTATATATACATATATAATACATTGTGCATATACCAGAATTCGCGCACAATACGATTCTTTATATCAGAAACAATAATTTCTTCTATAGTAAAATTCTATCCAAACAATAATTTTTAAATGAGAATAATTTAAAATTAACAAATAAACACTGTAAGTTACGCTTGAATTAATAGTGGCGCGCACTGGATGTATAATGCTTTACTACGTTTTACTATTTCTTTAAAGATTTCATAACAATTATACATGATATCTAACAAAAAAACTAATAATTTTTTTAAGGAGAATTTTTACTCTCGCGCCTTTCATAAAGATAATTTTCGAATCGAAGATTCTATGTTAACGAGCTTTTCGAACCGTAAACTCGTTCGTTCTCATTACGCGCGTAATTTGCCACTGATAGTCGACCTGCCTTAAATTCGATGTTCATTTGCTTCTACTCCTTAAATACTCTTTAACGATCTCAATTACGACATAAGAGTCTATGCTTGCATCAATCGTGTTTTGTCGGTGCTCGTAGGAATACGATACATATTATAAGAATTATAGAATACGATACATATACTATAGACTATGTAAAAGCTTGGTTTATAATACACATTTGCAATACAAAAAAAAATATTGAAATTTATATACATTAATGTTACGTTATGTTTTCAGTTATATTTTTGAAATTATATAATATTATACATATTTAATTTTTTTATCTTACTTAAATTAATATTTTATAGCTGTTTTATAGGAGTTGTAGTTCTTAAAAAAGCACATAAATAAAGCTATCTATCTATCTGCCTAACTATCTATCTGCTTAACTATCTATCCGCAGCTATCTCTAATGAAACTCCAGTAAAGGCCAAAGAGAGCTATAGTTGTATTTAAATACATATATGTCGATATATCGATTTGGTGGAAAGTTGCAGTCTAGGACTGTTCAGTCTTTGTGCAAACCCGGAACTGCATGTGCATTTGCGTTCGCGAAACAGATACTGTACTTATTAATTTAGAAATAATAAAGAGATATAATATTTGTGAGCGAAATATAAATCGCGCGAATAACGTGTACATTAAGTAGCAAATTGAGCTGTTTAAGATCAAATAATGCCCGTGCTATATTATTATTCTCCGAGTCCACCTTGCCGAGCTGTCTTGCTCGTGGCAGAGGCGATTGGGCTCGAAATGGAATTGATATCATTGAACGTGATGGCTGGTGAGCATTTGACACCGGAATACGAGGAGGTATGAAAAATTAATAGCGTATGATACATTATTAGATAGAAATATCTTTTTGTTTCTTACTTTAGATAATTTCGTAGTTTGAAAGTAAACTAAAATATTGAGAAGCACTAAGTTTCTTAATATTAGAATAAGCACATTTTTATCTTCTAGTTAAATCCGCAAAAGACCATTCCTTTCTTAATTGACGATGATCTCAAGCTATCGGAAAGGTCAGTAAAAGCGTTTTAATAATGTGCAGCGCTCATTTTGCTGTATTTATATTGGGATATTCATTTAAGAAACGACATATTTCAGTCGAGCTATCCTGGCTTATTTGGCCGATCAGTACGGCCCGGATGAGACGTTATACCCGCGGAGTCCAGAGGCACGTGCTTTAGTTAATCAACGATTATACTTCGATCTCGGCAGCCTTTTTGCGAACATATTTGATTATTACGTACGTGTACACATTTCATCGCTTCTGAATAAACTGTATCGCGGCAGCGCATGCAATCGATTATCGCACATTTCGTGATCGTAGATGCCCGTGCTCAGAAAACAAGTCGATACGTACGATCCAGAACTGTATGAAAAACTAAAGGAAGCCTTTCAAGTTATGAACAATTTTCTTGAAGGACAAGATTACGTGGCTGGAGATAATTTAACGATCGCTGATCTATCTTTGACTGCGTCTGTAACCACAGCAGAGGTAATTTCGATGGTGTTATAAACAACTAATTAGGTATTCTTAGAAGCAACAAACATGTATTCTCTGGTGTAGCATTTTTCTTTCCTAAATATTTTCAAGAAATTATTCTTTCTGTCTGTAATTTTATGTGGATTTAGTTGCACTTTCGCCAATTGTCAGTTGACACACATCTAGAAATTATTTTTGAGATCTGTAAATTTAATTGATTTCTTGTTAGGCCTTTGGATTCGATTTGGAAGAATATAAAAATGTTTCCGACTGGTTAGAGAGAATAAAAACGTCTGCACCTGGATACGAGAAAGCAAATGGTGAACCTGTCGAAATGTTCAAGCAATTTATTCAAGCTTCGCAAGGGGAAGGAGGAGAAGAAGAAGGAGAAGCAGAAGGTGAAGGAGATCAAGGAGAAGAAGAAGAAAATTAGTAATATATTATATTAAACATTGTTTCAATTTTCCAAGCTGAAACATATTAAATAAATAAAATACTGGTGCATGTGAAGCTATCAATTTTAATCACACTTGTAATTATGTAGAAGAGATTGTTTATTATACAAGGAGTTTTATCAAAACTCATACTTGAAACAATTATACGTTGTTTTTTAGATGTTTTTATTATGTGCGTGTGTGTGTGTAGGCGTGTGTGTGTACGCGCGCGCGCTGTATACACAAAAGTAAAACTACAAATAAATAAGAGTGATACCTGCAATGTAAGCATAGTATAAGATTAAAAAAATAAATAAACTGTCACTTCAATAAAAATATAAGTTCTTAATGTCACATTAATTTAAAAGAATTATATATCATTTGATATACTTAGTTTTAAATCGTATTATATATAATTCCTAGATAATTCTTCTTATTATTTTCCAATAATTTCTTATTATTTTCGTCCGTTGAAAACTTGAAGTGTTAAACATTAGTAACATTGCCGACGGTTGGCAATGAGATTTTTACGCGAATTCTAAAGTTCTAAAGTCACATTCAACGTACGTCATCACACCTGTATCGTATGTCGGGTAATGATCTACTGAAGATCTACTGAAAGTCGGTGTGAAAATTTGAAACCCATTTCTATTTACAGCAGTTTATTATCCTATTTTATTTTATTTACATTTTAATTATTTATTCTCCTTAACATATAAATTTTTATGTAATGTTAATGTAAATTTATTTATTAATCCTTGAAACGTCCAAGATAATATTGTTTTAAAGATATTGATTTAATCGTCTTATCTACGAAACATAAATTGCAACTCATAATATACTCATGGAGATATTATTTTGAAAATTATGTACTTTACGTATTGATTCAAGAATATTTTCATTTTTTCATAAATAATAAATATTATATCGTTATAAAGATATTCAATATACTTGTTCACTTACCGACAGAAAAGATTCGAATGATGTACGAGGTTCGTCCTTTCGAATGTAGAATTTAATTAAGCATATACATATACTTCATTAATTAAATATGATGTAGATATTAAAATAAATTTTTTCAATTTCAACACTAGCTAGCAACTAGGATTTCCTTCTGTAGGTCTATATATTTTATAACTATATATTATCCTCACTCATTTGTCGTAATAACGTAAAGTACGACGCCGCTGTACTTAATATCTACAAGTATAAATTTGTATATTATATTGTCAACGAAAGAAAGAAAGAAGACGACATCAAAAATTAATTCACAAGCACATATGTAAAATAAAAAACAAGTTAAAAATAAAATAATTTTGTAATATGTAATATAATGTGTGATCTTTAGCAATGTGTTAAACACAAATGAGTTCATAAAATCAAGCAGGATAAAATGTTTAAAGTAGATTTTTTTTAGTCACAGATAAGAAATAATATAAAATTGAAAATTTTCTTTTGCTATACATTGTTTATAATTCGTACAAATTTTCTCATATGGGTATTCAAGTACTCGCGACTACCAAATAGTAAAATTTTTATATTTAAATATTTTAAGTTTAAATTTTGCTCTAAGTACGTTAACCCACAATATAAAATTACCGGAACAGTGGGGATCTGAAAGCGTTTAGCAAACTTTTGTTAAGAGCTAAAAAAACTTTTTAATTTAAAGTGTATGGGGGTACCCGGAGTATCGACGTAGGGGATAATCTAAAAACTTCAAGTGAGGAAAGTATCAGAAGTACGAGACGTATATTCTTATGGACATATTTTTACAACCGGGCAGAAGAATAAAGTGCGACGATCGTGATTATGGTATTGTACAAAAAAGAAAAAAAAACCTGGCACCGATAACGATGCTTTTTACAACTTGTAATAAATAAATTTCTTTGGGAAAGTTTTAAAGGCCCCCCCTCCCCCCAAGTCATACTCAGCGCGTCGCACTTACCCCCATGAAAGTGTCCAAGGACATAACCGTGAAACTCCCAGCGGTTAACTTGCACGGCCGGCGTGCTCTGATCATGATCATAATTAGCCCTTTCTTCACCGCCCTGCCTAGATCGTTGTCGGGTAAAAGGTACCATTTGGAATTGTAAGCGGCGTCGGAAATACCCACACTTTGCACAATTATGTCATTGGACGTCCACGTATAAATAAACAGCTGGATAAGACCGCCCACGAAATGGAAGGCAAAAATGCACTTTCTGATAATCATATCCGCAGCCTGCGAACAAAAGAATTTCAGAAGGCGACAATATCAATCCTTCTAACGCGGAGGTTGTAATTATTTATGAAAAGTTTGATTTTTTCATGCGTTATTCTACGTAATTACAAATACGTCAAAGATTTTTCTAAAATTTTTAAATATACACATTATCGACTTTTTATGCTTTTAAATTCTAAACGTGAATAAGTAAATATAAGAGAGTCAAAGGATTAAATTTAATTTAAATGCTGAATTAAATTTATCAAACTTAATTGCATTTTACTTCGAGAACATTTCTCGCTGCAGTCGAAATACAGAATTAACTGACAAGTAAGTACGGAGAGAGAGAGAGAGAGAGAGAGTGGAAAGCTAGGAGATAAGGAGGTAAAATTCGAAAGCTCACGAGAAACTGAAATCCACCGAAGCAGAGGACTACGCTGGAGAGCAGCAACTGTCCGAGCAATATAATAGCGAACACGCGTTGCATATTACGCACGTAAGATATGAGCGTGATGTGGTGCTGCACACAGTCCTGCAGTTTCTTGAACGATACAACCGCAACATTCGTTTCCAATGGACATTTCTGATCCATCGTATCCTCGATGCAATCCTCAGCGATGACTTTTACTTTGTGAGCCAAGATTTTCAGTTGCGCGGCAATGTGAATATTGAACGTGCTTACAAAATTGTCAAAGCAGAAAGTGCAGATACCCGAATGTATTGTCGAAAGTGACTGCAAAAGTGATCATAGTAATGTAAATTAAATTTTTATATGGAAAATTAAAAATGTTAATTAAAGTTTAAAAAAAAAATTACTTTTATATTATTGAATCATTTATTCTAATAGAATAAATTTTTTTTATTCTATTAGAAATAAGTAACTAAAGATAATGTAAATATTTTCAATGAAAAGATAAATAAAAGATTAAATTTATTTTTTATTTTAAAGATCACAGTTTTTGTATAATAAAAAAAAAAGTAATAAAGAACACTGAAAGTTAAATACTAAAACTTATATAAAATTTATCTCCTCCAATATGTATAATTATTTAAAAATATGTGTCATTTTTTAAAATATATAAACTATTAAAAACACAAAGCATTGAGATAATTAACATTCAATTATCCATTAATATCCATTAATTGTCGGTACCAATAAAATTGTTAGTAATTGACATAAATTGCCTATAATATTAAATAAAACTCATTATTTTATACATACACTGTTCTATTACCTGTATAACATAAGTGACTTCGTAATACGGTGAGTGATATGGAAAGTCAATCCACAGCTTGAAAGGTAGAATTTTCTCCGTTTCGTTTTTTGCTTCATGCTCTATTACAAACAGCAAAAGGAATATTTGACGCGATGTACGTCGTCACTTTACATGACAGTCCGAGAAGTAACATTCGCCACTACAGCGTAAGCAGAAACGAAAATTGTACCGAAAAAAGGTGCGAAGATGTAATTTAAAGTCGCCACGTAAACGATGAACGTAAAAGTGTAAGTCATAGTCATCCCTAGCCTGTCATATCCTTCTAGGATTCGAGTGCCAACCTCGTCATAAGTGGCACTCCAAAAATTCCTCTCGGCGGAACGAATCAAGTCCATTACCATGTCACGGTAGAACATGAAGCTGCCTAGCTTCACTAATATCATTATTAATAGGAACGTTGTGCACAGGTTGAACGTGGCAGCCTATGAGTAATAAAACTCTCAAGAATTAAATAAATTCTGCCCCCTCCCCTCCATATGAACGCTATAAGCGTGAAAAAATTCTGTAGGTTATTTTTCTATTTAATATTTTATTTATTTATTTTATATTGAAAAATTATTTCGCACATGGTAATTTATATGTTATAAATATTCCCATAAATGACGTTAAATGTTATTATAATATAATGTCATTAACTTTAACATAGAAAATATTTTTTAAGATAGAATAAAATTATGAAAAACAGAATAGAATATCTTATGTCCTCTTTGATTCTCAATTAGATCGATAGTTATCGAAAACTTTCAATTGGCGTAAGGTATACTCTTTCCATATGTACTTTCACACAAACACTCAAACACATACACATACACAGCATCAGGAATTCTCCAATTATACTTTTCCAATTATAACAGTTTCAATCCGTCGGAATAAAAGAAAATTAAAAATATATTGAAGCAAAACATACACGCTCCGCTGCTAAAGCTATACGTACTCGAACTGCATAATTGTCTAGATTTCTTTTCTCGGAATTAAATCGGAGTTAAATGTTAGTTAGTTTTACGCGTTTAATAATTCAAAATGATGCACCGTATACAAAACTTAAAATAAAACTGCACTTTAACGTCAAAATAAATTCAAATATATAACCGCGCTGCTTCTACATCCGTCAAGGTGGAACTGCGAGAGCGATCGCTGGCGTCACTCACGTAAAAGTCACCTAAGCAGTGATACAGATCAACGCCCTCGACGAGAATGGCGAAGGAGATCTGCCAAACGGCATAGCCGAACGCGACGCGCAGGAGCAGCTGCTCCCTGGATGTCTCGACGTACCAGAACCCGACTACTTTCATGAAGAGCCGGGTAATATTCACCGATCGGTACTCCTTACTTTGCGTCATGCCGAACCTCGTGATTTTCTTACGCCGCGCACCGGCCTTAAGTGCATCCGAATGGCCGAGCCATTCTCGGCATAAGTGGAAGCCCATTATGCTAACAAGCGAGGAAAATTGGCGCGCACTTACCAGCGGGTGACAGGCTGTAATCGGCACGCGTCTCCTTTGCCGAAGGCGCACAATTGGTGGTGTACGTATTAAATTCGATCTCCGATGGGGACAATGCCACCACATGGCCCTTTCTCTTCGGCGCTTCCCCCGTCAGTAGCCCGACTGCGAGCCATCGAACCACATCGCAAATTGGACGTCTCCACTTGCAACGTACAGGAACGATATTGAGGTAATAGTATTTGCAGACAATTTGCTTCAGCTGATGAATTAACGCGTAGTAACTAAAGTTTTTCACATTTTTCTAAATGCATAAACATATAAATGCAGTACATAAAAATGGACATATTTTTTTTCGAACAATTTTACACGAGGGAATTAAGAAAAATATATCTGCGAAGTATTTCCGTCAGAAGAATTGTCAATTTTATTTGCAATAGTCTGTCAGAAAAAAAAAGTTATTGAAAATAAATTACAATCTTTGATATTCTGTAGAATATACATATGTACATTTCACGTATTGTATAAATATTTCTAAAAATGAATATGCAACACGCTGAACATTTTCAGTTTTTCAAAAACTAAATATTTTAATGTTTCGAATATTTCTAAGCTCTTTCCTCCAATTTGTTTTTTATAGTAAGTTTGAATTCCCTACTTTTGAGCGCTCACTCCACAAATTTGCGAAGCAAGGTGAAGTAGGACGCCGCGGTGCTCAATACCTGGAAGGAGAATACAAAATTGTCACGTTGCGGAAAGTATCTGCAGATGTATACTGTTTTATACACCCATAAGATTTTTACCGCCATAAACGTCTCGAGAGACACCGGGAAGAAACCGCCAGCGGATATGGAGCAGGCACGTGCGGATCGCACCATGATCATCAGAATGGCTTTCCTGACTGCCCTGTTCTCCTCGTGGGACAAGACCTGCCAGTTGGCGTTGTACGCCGCGTCTCCGACCGCTCGGCTCTCGTCCATTAATTCGTTCGCCGTCAGCGTGATCACGAACAGCTGGATGAAGCAGCCGTTTGTATGAGCGATGAATATCATTCGTCTGACGAGAGTACCTCGGGCCTTTTCCAACAGAGACGCAGACGCGTGATGGAGAAGATCAGCGAATAAAGCAGGTAAGCTATTTATTTACGCTCATCTTTCTCTTACGTTACCTTCACTTATCTAACATCGTTATGTGAATAAAGAGTTCCGACACGCACATTTCATACATTCACACACACACACACATTCCTTAACACAACACTACGTGTATAAGGCAACTTACCAAAAATACCTGAAAGCCCGCGACGCAAAGCATGACGCCGGACACCAACAGCTGACAAAGGGTTGTGTACATGAAAATTTGTTCCATTTTTTCACTGTACCAGATTAGCTCGTGATGCAATTTGACGCACTCTCTGAGGTTTTCGTATACTCCCCGCCTCTGTTTCTCGTCGAGTGACCTTACGGTATCGGTCCGTTCGACCCTCTTGAGAATGCTTCCCAACCGGTGTTGCAGAATTTTGAACTGGCCTGCAGTGTGCAGGTTCAATAAACCCAAGAGATTGTCGAAGCAACAGAAGCACACGCCACAGTGAATGAGCGCTGTAATCTGTAAAATTGCACACTGTAAAAAGGAAAGATTTACGGACACGTCGGCAATAAAATGCTGCATTGCATGCAAATCGGTGACACAGCTACTAATGCTATCAATTCTCGTTATTATTAAGTTCTTTAAAAACTTAATAATATGATAAATATATATAAGTTAAGATAAATATATCTACAGTTTCTAAAAAAATAATACAAAACAAAAGGTATTCCTATTAAGCTGGTTGAAGTTTGGAACGTTCCTGGAGCGATTTTTAAAAAATTATTTGTCCCGTTTCTAGCTTCACATAGAATAACTCATAAATGCCACAAACACAATACAAAATATTTCGATACACGCGTTGGAAGGCACCCTTATATGCTCGATAAACCACCCTCCCAGTCTGCACTTAAAAAATTTTAGCTACGTGCCAAAAATGATTTGGCCCATTTCTACTGTTACACAAAGTAACTCCTAAGTGCCAGACACGAAATATTCCAATTGAATACACGCATCGAAAGACACCCTTATGCTCGATAAACCACCCTCTCGGTCACTTAAAAAATTCTAGCTACGCCAAAAATGATTTGTCTCATTTCAACTTTTTGTACAACATTACTTCTAACAATAAGCGCCAGATACAAATTAAAAATGTTCTAATCGAATACACGCGTCGGAAGGCACCCTTATGTTTGATAAACTACTTAAAAAATTCTGCCTTCCGACGCGTGTATTTGATCGAAATATTTTGTACTGTGTTTGTGGCACTTATGAGTTATACTCTATGCAAAGCTAGAAATGGGACAAATCATTTTTAAAAAATCGCTCCAGAAACGTTCCAAACTTCAACCAACTCTCCTTTATAACACAATTTTGAAGAACCATGCTGCATTACCTGAATAGCGAATAGTATTTCAAAGTTAGGCGAAATGGTTGTCGGGATTCCAATCCAAAGAGAAAACGGGAGTATTCTGTCGGTCTCGTTTCTTCCTATATTTTCTACAAAAATGTAATATAGAAGAGAAACGTGAAATCCCTGTGTCTGCGCAACGGTATTACGAACAGAAGGTGCTTAGTACCTGAACTAAGATTTGTACCGTTCGTGTTCTATTCTCTACTAAGTAGGCGATGTAAATTTAGATTCAGGATACCGATTAGAGGAGTCAGCATATAGGTGGCAACGGTTCCTTGAACGAAGAACGTAAACGCGCACATTAATATTATTGCCTTTTTGTTAATCCTTTCCAAAATATTGCTGCCGTACTCGTCGTACTGGGCGTTCCAAAAATTTTCCTCTGTATATTTCAACATACTCAGCAGGTCTTTTCGATGAAGAAGAAACAAGGTTACCTTCGACAAAATTGTGACTACCGGCATACTGCTACAAGCGGTGTACGTGAGGGCCTAAAAAAAAATATTAATACAGATTTTGTTACTAACTTTTTATAAAAATTGTATGTCATTGTAGAGAAGCTAGTAACTTGACATAACTTGACATTAACAATCTACGAAAAATAAAATTAATAAAATTAATATATAAAAATTGTATAACATTAATAAAAATAAACACTATATAGCTCTGTATCTTTAATTATTTACATTTATTACAAGCTTTTGATTACTATTATATACACAAACAATACTATCCTATGACTAATATGTAGAGATGTAATAGAAAAAAACCAAAATTTTTTTATAAAATACGTCTTTTTTTAAGAAAAAAACATAAGCCTCGTTTTCTTCAAAAATTTTCTTTTAGCTATCTATATTTAATATCTATATTTTGCTTAATATAAATTAATTTTTCATGATTTTTTATTTTATAGATAGTAAATTTAAATTATCATTATTTTAACCTTTACGCAGAACAAGGAAGCTAATATATTGATTCTGAAACATATTTTGAAGCAAAGACTTTCAATGAATAATTATAATAAATTCTACTTAAGGAAAAGCTGTTTAGAAAAATAATTAAAAAGATTCTCCTTTTATAAAAGTTGAATGTAGATTACATTAAAATTAATTATATAATTATAGAATTACTATTTACAATTAATTAGTCGTGCTATCGGAATTAAAAAAAAACCACATTTGTATTTTTTCAGTGAAATAAAATACGTTTTTATTCTAATGTTTTTTTCTATTAGAAAAAAAAACGTTTTTTTACATCTCTATCAATATGTGATAATTTTCCCACGTTTATTATAAATTTTGATACTTACATAAAAGTCGCCTTTACCTAGATATATTTCGGTCGACTCTATCCACAAAGCGAGGCATCCTACGTATATTGTATAACCCAAAACTCCATTCAACAATCGTTCCTCAGTTTTCGACTCGGGGGGCCAGAAACCGATCACCTTCATAAGAAATCTCACTATTCGTATCGATAGAAATCTATCCTCCTTCTTCGAGGATAGATTTCTACTTCGAGCGTACTTCGTCATCGTGCATCGATCGCTACTTCAGCGGTTGGTGTCGTATTAACGAGATTCGCGGTATCGCACGATGCAATGATATACGTATAGGAGATATAACAGGCGTAATAACAGGCATACGCTACGGCAATCGTGGCACGATCTTTGATCGAGTTATTTCCCCTTCTATTACTTCCAGCCTCTATTATCATGCTAGTCGTATCGCAGGATAGGAGGGATTGCATTATTACGGGGTACATACCCTCCGCCTTTCTCGCGAAGAGGAACATGCAATGTTAATGTATCCGCGCCGTCGACGAACTCCGTTCCGTAAGTATATTTAGATTAAAATCGTCTACGAACGCGGGAGAGCGGTACAAAGAAAAAAAAAGAAGGTACGTTACCGAACACCTTCCAATCTTTCTTACAGGTGTTACATTCGCAGGATCCTAAAGAGAATTTCCCGAGGAAATGATAAGAAATGTGGCGAGAAGTCATGCGATAACAGAATGCCCTTATATAGAGGCAAAAAAGTATCAGTCGACGATTGTGCCTCGTACCTCGAAGATCGTAGATACCACGGAGCAATGGCCGTTCGATAAGTTTTTATTTAAAAAAAACAAGTGTTTTGCCTAGACTTTAATAAGGATTTTATTAGTGCAGGAATTAAAGTTATATTTGTTACTCTAGATTTTGTATTAATGCTACTAATGAATGATACTAACAATAAGATTGAAAGAAATGTAAGATATCTGTAAATCTCTCTAAAGAAACTTCATCTTGCTTTGCAGTCTTCAGCAACTCCAGGTAAGAAACTGAAACTTATTAAGGAAAATCAATTTTGAATTTAATTTCAGATTTTACAATAATTTTCAATTAAAGAAAATTTAGATGTACGCGTAATTTACAGAGTGACAACTAGGAAGTTGTTAAAACTAAATAATTACTTATTTTGTAAAAAGGAAATGAATATGTACTATCCTATAGAAAAAATTTGTCACTTTTATTAATATGTCACCTTGATTATCACTCTGTATATTAAAAATATAGTATAAAAAATTAGATATAAATGTAAAATTTATCATATAAATTAATAATTTATAATTCATTTAATTTTTAGTATATAATAATTATCTTTAATTTTTATTCATACATTTTTGTATTTTAATAAAATTTAATTTTATGGAGATTAATTCCCTATATTTTGTGTTAATGAAAAAAAAATGCACGCATCTCTCTTTCGCTGAATTAATAAGTCGCATAAATAATAACCCAGAATGGGAATTAGGAGAATTATATAACCGCATATACACAATGGAGATATTTTATTTTATATATATATATACATATATATATAATATAATATTTAATATTTTAATGTGTTCTTTTCTGAGAAAATAAGTATACTTATACTCGCAACTCGATATATTTTAGCTACGTGGGGCGTGATTCGGCGTTACCACAGCATCCTCTATATAAAATGACGGGGAAAATTGGGAAAATTAAAATTTATTGCTAACTCGAACAGTATGGACAGAGAATCTGCGCCTCGGCGTGACCGGCGTGATAACGCCGAATCGCCGGCTGTTTATACATACCATCTATATATATGTATATACATATACATATATTCAAAACATACAACAAACGAAGACTATCTTTCGTATTTACGTATTCGTCTTAACGGTAAGTATTTTCGTTATTTTTTTCTTTTTTTTTTTTAATAAGTTATGCTGGGTAAGAGTCATCTCTCGACATATCGGTAACATCTTTTGGTTGGTACGTTACATACATATTTCTGATAGGATTTGCTAAACACTTATCGACCACCTTGCATTGCAATCAATTCGTCTTTCTTACCTTCTAGTATGTTTCTATTTTATTTCATTGTTATAAAGATAACGCTGCGCTTATCCATATAACGCGTAACCGTCAATAAAACAAAAGTAAAACGGAAAGGAAAGAGGATGGCATACCGTTCGATGTGTATGTAGCTTAGAAGATTTCAATATTACGGCCGTCTCATAAAGCGCCGAGCTCAATTCGAATCGCCAGAGTATTTGATTTTTATTTATTCGGTAAACGCGCGTGTGCAACGAAAGTGTCGATTTGACCGTGACACTTATACGCGTGCAAATTCTCAAAAGCGATATTCTACTTTGTGTGTGTGTGTGTGTGTGTGTGTGTGTGTGTGTACGTGTGTGACTTAATTATCATGTTAGTACAAAATATTCCTCCACACTAAATTCCACTTAAAATAAATTTAATCTTTTTAATCATCGGAAAAGACACTTAAACTTCTCTAAGCGAAGAAAAGCGTATTGAATGTCTATGTTAATTAATACAAATCTAGATTTAATTTTACTCGATAAATACGGCAATCTCTCCTGCACTGTCTCTCTTCCTTTACACAAAACTTAATAATTTGTGATTATAGTGAACGAGTAAATAACGTTTATTTCTCGCGACTTTATAGTATTTTTATATAAAGAGCAAAGAGAAGGTGTTTTTAAATGTACAAAAACATCACTTTGCAGCTACAAACAGATGTGCATTTCCGATATCTCGACGTGGAAATCTCTTGTATGTACCAAGGCTCCGCCAGCATCATTAAATACGCTTGGCCGCTTCGCGCGTAACTGACACTAATAATATACCAATAACCGTAAATACGTTCTATCAATTAAACGCTTAATTATCGTATCTCATATCCCACTTAAGACACGAGATTACCTAACAATACAACAGGGAGTGTCTTGCGGACGATTGTAAAAAATTGTATAACAGAATGCTTATGTTCTATTGAGAGAAACGCTAAGTTCATGTAAATCATGTTATCGCTTTCCCTCGTATATCTCGCGCGCTATCAGAAAAAATAGGCTCACGACGATGGAGTAACCTTTAAGCGTCGGCTTCAGATACTCTACGCAATTTTCCCGCCGCCTCTGGGAATTAATTTTAGACGGTATCTTTGACTCATCTCTTGAGGTATCCCATAAACTATTCGCGATATCGGCAAATGTATTATATAAGAGATTTTATATGATAAAAGCACCGTTTTAATGACATGCTCTAACAAAACTTTGAAGAAAAAAGTATATCTTTTTCTGTTATTGAATATTCTTCTTGAAAATTATTGCTCAGGCCATATGCTTTTATATAAACGTGCTTTTACCATTGACGAAATTTATAACTATGTTGAATAATTAAGTTAGTAAAGTATTAATTATTAAGCTGTTACTTTTGGAAACTATTATTTTTGGAATGCTCATCGAAATAAGCATCGACTTTAAATAATTTGCCTTTCTAAGTTATCGTAATAATTAAATAAAATAAATGTATACTGCAGGACCAACTTGTAAGTAGAAATGCGCGATACACGCGATACGTTGTTATGATATAAGTTCGCAATATCTTTGTAACCTAGTTATGTTTGATAAAATCCCTGGCAGGAACCAGCAGTATGTATTTTGTTCTATGTAAATTGTGTTACTTTTAAATTAATATTAAATCCGTTCAAGAGAAAGCACTATTAACAACGGACAACGGGGCTTGTTCTGGTCGCGATTAAGGCATGATCATGAATTTCTCGAACACATATTAACGTGATAAAATGGATGAGGCAGTTCTTTCATTGAATGTCGAAGATGTTTCAAGGATCACTACAAAAAGACTGTCTTAATCAAATCGTTTTGATGTCAACTGTACGAGATACAAAATTAATTTTTGGACTGATCGCTTGCTTAAACCTTAAGAAAGGTATTTAAGCTTTCTTAAGGTCTTTCAAACTTTAGAGAACTTAAATTTTATCTTCTTATTTGTACGTAAATGAATAACCAATCAAAGACATTAATTTCAATACAATATTTCTCTCCTGCTTTCATGTTCTTACAATTAGATAATCAATAAAAGTAATTTATACATATTATGTGTTCTGAAAATCATAAACAAATTTAAAGAAATTGAGAGATACTCATCAATAATTGTATTGAACTTTCTTCATTTTTTTTTCACGTCGCCAGTTAAGAGTTAATGTCAAAGGAGATTACCTTGAAGGGGATTACCTTGAAGGGGATAAAACCGTGAATATAGGATTAGTCAGTTATTTTTTCATAGCGTTAGTCCGGAAATTTTTTTATTGCACCTCGTAAGTCCTGGTAACAGAACTCAAGCGTGTGTAGGGGCTGTAGATGTTTGAGTAAATCTGTCATACGGACAATTTTCGATAAAACTTGAACATGAGATTATCAATAAAAAATAGCTGAATATTTCAAGTATCTGAATATCGAGAATATAATCTATGTTCATTTAAATATGATACAGATAGTTTATGTTGAATTGGTCAAAAGTATCACAAGTCTAATAAATATAAAAATATATGTACTGCAAAGTGACGGTACCGCAAACACGGCAACAATTGAACCGTCGGAAATGCTTGATATTCAAAGTACTTGAATTATTTGACCATTTATTTCATCTGAGTTAGAATTAATCGAATCTCAAGGCTCGAATCACAGCAATGTCTAAATAGTCGAATATTCAAACGTACCGGAATTTCAAATTTACTTTACGTAGCCCTATTATGAACTTCTTTACATTTATTATTTGGTTACGACGTCTTCTTGCATGCATCTAATTTACAAATGCGACCAACGTATTTTTCATCTCGCTAATTAAAACGTTCATATACAATGAAGCTTTTATTCGTAGACAGTTGCGCAATGCATTTCTTAAGAGAAAAAAAATCGCACGCGAAAGAGAGATAATTCCAATGGATTCACACGTTTTGTCAATTGCTTTGTAAATCTTGTAAATCAAAAGCTTCATAAAGTTACGAAAGTCCGTTAAAGTGTGTGCGTGTTAGAAGATATTCTGCGCGTGCGACAAAAATCGATCAATAATAATTAATTAACAATCAAAAAGGGATCCACAGAAGGTACAAAAAGGATCCACGACGGAACGATAAATCTGGAACGTGTGTTAAGACAATGTGTGTCAGTGTGTTATTTTAGTTACAACGTAGCAACAATAGATATACATATAGTACGTACATGCAGACAGAGCGGATAGACTTACGTTTGATCCTTACATGCACACTACGTGAGTTTATATTCATGTTCGTACACGATAACTTACACGTATTCGTCATTTCTTATACGTGTACAGTTACACAGCCCGAGATTACCGCCGGTATATTACAATACGACCGACGGGTAATTTCGGGTTGCGAGTTGCCGATGCTACACAGACACCGAAAAACGCTTTCCATAACAATTTGTGACGTGCAACGAGTGTCCGTGGCATCGAAATTTGAAATTAGCAAAAAATTGTGTCTCAATCTCAAATCCTGATTGTTCCTACGTTTCTTCAATTATAATTGCTGTCGCTGCTATAATGATCGCGTGCCTCCCGTTTTCCTACTTTATTATCATTTTTACACTTAATCGCCACCGATGGATATGAATTGAAATAGACTCGGTGGTCTCTTGTAATAGCTCGCACGCCTGCAGTTAAATCTACAGCTCGTATCGTCACTCGTATAAAAACCTTACGAAAATAATTGCTCTATCGTAAAATCCGGCAATTCGCTTACGACGTTACCATCTTACAACTACAAGGATTCAAAGTAATCCCGTTGCCCCAGAAGGAAGGGGGGGATGTGAATCGCAAGAGCCGATCATCTCGGCCCTTAAAAATGTAACGAGTAACGCGACCACTCGATCGCTCTATCGCGACGCGCGCGGAAATCCGCGATCTGATCGATCGCGGTGCCAATGGACAAAGTAACACGCCTTTCTTTCGTTTTTTTTTTTTTATCGCCGATGGATGATCACGTGCGACGAAATAACAAGCGCGCGATAAACGTCGTGGCTTGAAAAGGCTACGGGAATTGCCCTCGGACAAATCCGGGCAAACCTCGATGTGCAAACGCGGTGCTGCGGACGATCAAGCTCGAGAAAAAACCCTGTCGATTAATCCAGCGAAGAACGAACAAACGCCTGTGATAGCAGTGATACAATCTAGCTTGGATCAGACCGCCACTCGGTCACGTGACTTCCCGATGATACGAGAATGCAAGAAATAGAAATTTAGAAAAAACGTCCAAAGTCGGAAAAAGGAAAAGGACCGTCTGATGTCTTCATCTCACACATTTGCATTGCCATAAAGTTTTTCTCATCGCAAGTGTTGAGAGCAATGGCGTCGCCAATGAACTACAAACGGATCTCCGAAGAAAACATACGTACGTAATCCTATAGTAATTATAATTTTAAATACGTGGCAAATTGTATATATAGATAGTGCGTTTGCAAAGGTTCGATTAACTCATTACTACTCAAATTAATTTTTTTCCCTTATAAAACGAATATATCATAGAACGAAGATTAAATGAACATTAGAGATGCATATTAGAGCACGACGTGTGAGTCATATATAGCCTTACGAGGAAATCAATCATGATCTATAGTGATCAGTATTTTCTCCTTGGAGATTATAAACAAACTGTCCTTCGTGATCAGGCAACCGACCGTCAATTAATGATAATCAACAAATTACTGCGTGCCCGTTCGTCCCGCTACGGATATTGTGTTATCTAATCTCGATTCTTGGTGCAACTGGTGGTCTCAACGTGTACGAATGAACCTGCGGCATGCGATACTGAGTACACGCGCTAGATAACGTCAGAATCTTAGGCGATTTATTTCACCAACGTCTCCGTTTTGCCCGAAAACCGCTCGCATGAACGAATACGGATCGAGATCGAGTTTTACGCGACGCTGCGCCTTCCACCGTACATTCGATGAGAACCCCGTGTTAATTGGTGTGTATGTGCACACGTCTTCACTCACATGCCCCCTTAATTACGCAAATATCCCGCCAACGAGGATCAGCTTTAATTGTCTATCATGACGGAAAGTGCCCGCGCGCCTACTGTCAAGAGACAACGACTCAGCTCGTACCCGCGCGCTAGCACGCGAGTCATCATCCCCGACATCATCGCCACTCCGCGCTGTCGCGCTAATTACGTACTCGACACAACACAAGGGCGCGTGCATCCGCCGCAATCGTAACAAACTCCATCCTGCTTTACATTTAATTGGTAGACTTAACTATACGTCCTCTCTTTCTTTCTCTCTCTCTCTCTTTCTCTCTTTCTCTCTTTCTCTCTTTGTTTCAAACGTACCGTACAAATATCTCGAACATAGAAGAAGTCCTAATTCATTGAAGCGTAAATCTCGTCTCTCCTGGATCACCTAGAAAGCTACTTCGTCGTGTCGTTAGGCGAACAATTGCACAACCGCGTGCTCACAGCGACGAACTCGTCTCTTAACAACTAGAGTATATATGTATATTAACGTAGTGGTATTATTACGCAGTGGCTAAACATTGTGACAAAATCCAAAATAACGACGTGTCTTTCGTTAAGGACAATGGCAGGGCGACAATCGTTCCATGGTCTGTCTGAGCTGGGAAAGGCTTCTCTCTTCTCTCGTCATACCATTGACAACTTCCGGTCCGAGCAACAATCGTGTCGATCATCCGTACGAGGATGACCCGTAAATCCTCGGACTGGCTGACTTCGGCCAGATTTCGGCTTCGACCGGCGTGCAATTAAGACGGTCACCGATCGAGATGCAAAGGCCACCGCGCTCCTCTTTCAGTTTGTCCACCGTTGATCGGGTATGTATATCAAATCTGCACAATAAAGGCGAGGTCACCTCAGGGCACCCTCGACTCACGCGGCTGCAATTACACGCCGGTGTGATTGAATATGTAGGAAACGTTGCTGTCCTGGTGAACCGGCGGCCCGTGCCAGCGTCTCGTCGACGAGTTGTTGTTGTTGTTGTTGACGTAATAGGAGGACTTTCTCATGCTCGTCGAGGAGGACATCATCGCGACGGTCTCGTAGTACCTCAGCTTGCCGCAGCATCGGCCGCTCTTGAGGATGGCGATGAAGCCGCGCCGGTACTTCTTGTTGAAGAAAGCGTAGAGGATCGGATTTATGCAGGAGTTGCTGGCGCCCAGCCACTGGGCGATCGGCGTGGCGATCGGCAAGATCTCGTCCTCACTCTCGGCCACGTTACCACCCAGCTTGACCACGGCGAAAATTACGTAGAGAGGCAACCATGAGAGGACGAAGAGTATCACGACCACAACCAGCATCTTGACCACCTTCACCTTCGACTTCTGCTGTATCCTCTCCATCTGGGCGTCCTTGGTATCGGTGGGTATATGCCTGCGCCACACCTTGATCCAGATGAGAATATAGCAGAGGGATATGAGTATCATCGGTAGCACGTAGCAGAGGGTCAGATTGCCGATCAGGAAGAACAGCGAGCCGTCCTTGGGATGCGGCCACTTCTCCAGGCAGAAACGCAGGTCGGGATCGTCGTCGTAAATGGAGACCAAGTCGAAGAACAGCAGCCAGGGTGACGTCATTGTCAGGGCAATGAACCAGATCACGACGATTATCATGCGAGCTCGCCGTTTCGTGATTTGACATTTCAACGGCCACCAGATCGCCAAAAACCTGAAAAAGGCAAATGGCAGCTGTCGTTAGTTACTATCAATCTCAATTTATTCACCAAGTTTGTAAAACTAGAAACTCGAATTGGCGCATAAGAATCGTTAGGTATATTTTAAAAATTATACCGTAAATAAATAGCTATTTTTGCATTTTTACAAATTGATAAAAATCCACTTAAGATTTCATAAAATGTAAAATGTATTTAACAGGAATGATTCTAAAATATGTGTATTTGTATGAAATAATTGAGTATATGTAAAAAAAATCGTATAGGAAGTTATTTTTAAGCATTTAATAATTGACTTTTACTTTTCGATGTGTCAGTAGGATTTATTTGGTATATCAAACACTAAACAATCGTGGTCTGATATCTCACGGCAATCCCGTTTTGTTGAGGTGGATAAAAATCAGTTATTAATACGCGCGGTTTTACCTTCCATATAATCTAGTCCGATAAAGCATCAAGAGAAGTGTGTGTGTAATAACTATTATTAGAATCGAGTAACGACCTACAATCAATAATATCAAATAATGATCGAATACATTAAATCTACATTGCAAAAAAAAGCGAGGTGCAGCGCGGGAAAATATCAGGAGAGGGCAAAACCTTTTGATCAAAGACGACGAAGGTCCCCATCAGTTAGTGACTTTCCTATCAGCGATAAGCAGTTGTGTACCTCGCTCGTGTACACAGAAACCACTTGCGCGTTAGATAATCTCGTCTGATTTATTGTGCCGTATGTCACGAAGAATGCAGAATAGCTATTTTACGGGCACCACGCGGGACAGGTTCGGCTGTGAGTCGGGGCGCCTACGCGCGCCTCAGGAAACGCGCACGCGGTCCGGCCGTCGCGTGTACGGTCGTCGCGCCATTTTTAGGTCTCACATACGGAATTGCCGACAAAATATTCCATTCGCCATTTCGAAAGACACTCGGCACCCGAGAGTTCACGCTTGAGCGGGTACGCGCCGCGAGCGGGTATGTGAAAATAGATACGAGGAACACCTTTTATGCGACGCAGGAATTCTCATTTGCCGTGTCCGGATTATTTAGGACTAGTCGGATTACTTCGTGAAAAATCACGTTGTGCTTTCGTCTCCGGTATTGAGCCGATCACCTTCGAGTGTGAATGAACCAGCCAGTTTATTAACATTCCGAGGCAAGTCTTCCACGACAATACGTTCAGCAGCGATTGTAGCCGTTGTCATTGAAAATGGAAAATTTTTCCACGACACGCGAAGCTTACTTGTAACACTTATATAGATAAAGATATGCAACGTAAAAGAGAAAAAAATAAGCATAACATTAACTAGCTGTCATTATACTAAGGCGACACAAAGTCTAAAATTGACGTCTTTTAATCATCTTTTAAATGGTCCGCGCAGAAGTGTCTAAAAGGCATTTGAAAGACGTCTTATGCATCAATTTTAAACTTTGTGTTGTCTGGCTAGAGTCGATAATTAAACAAATTATTTTCGATGCCAATTAAAGTTGTTTGCGAATTAAATTAATTTGCAAAGAGAGGAGGTTTAACGAGTCCCACTTGAAATGTACTGAGGAAGGAAAAAGGAATCGGCACAACATACGGAAGAGCAATTACTCGTTAAATTCCGCAGCCATATAAATTGCGCTCGCCCGTGTCTAACGATAAGAACACGGAATAAAAATCACATAAATCGCCGTCGAAGCGATTGGGACACGCGGACCATCGATCACGACGACGACGACGACGACGTCGTCGCGAGGTGAGAGCAATTGACGAACCTTTCGGAGCCTTATGTATATGTATATATATATATATATATATATATATTAATAGCGATGAAGCACGTTCATAGATTCGGAGGAGATCCGCGCGGGATAAGTCTTTGTGATGCAAAGAAGCCGTAAAACCGGGACACTCGCCGAGACGCGCGAAAGCGAGGGGGGGGGAGGTAAAAAGGGGGAAGTACTTCTTTCTCCTCATTAATTAAATGGTCCCCGCCCACGGAGAAACGTCAAATGCTATCTTTAATGAACGTTTCTCTCTCGCGACGCCCGGTACCAGAAAACCGTACAGCTTCCGTACAGATTCATTAAGTCGCCATTTTGCCGCTCGACGCCAACAGTCGTCGCGGATTTTCCGCCTCCGCTTACGCCGCCGCCGCGATTAGCGAGCGCCGCCCTTCTCTCTCGCCGTTGTGCTATCGGCGTCATCGACTGCGTCTTCGTGTCGTCGTAACCTTCGTTCCAATGAATAAACTTAAAATATCTTCGTCGTCGTGACCTTCCATAAATCAATGCGGCTGATACCGATCTGCAAGCAGTTCTCACGGAGCGCGGCGTCACTTCCGAGTCAGCGGCGGCGGCGGCGGCGGCGGCGCGTGTGTACGCGCCGTCACTTATCGCGATATGTATCGCGTATAAACAACGAACTTCCCCCGAGTCTTCGTGTCGACTGAGCGACAAGGAGAATCAGGCGGCGGGAGAAAAAAAATTGAAAAGAAAAAAATCCGCGAATGCGGAAATCCATCAGCTCGCCCAAGGCCGCCTATGGCCGCGCGGAGTGGGGCGGATACAATGAGAGACGTTCGACGAGATGATGATCCCGGAGACATGTATCTATATAAAGGGATCGATTGCTCCCGGTAGTTGCAACTGCAGTACCGAACAGCTAGTGTTGTCCTGTGTGTTCGCTAACGGGAATTAAAGCTGATTAAACGCTTAACATGTTCAAACTGGCAAGTATATCCGTCGTACACCCGTGCGCGCTCGTTCGCGTCAGTTCGCGCGCCTGTGTGCAGTGATCGCTTCCGGCCGCGAGGATACTTTCGCGATGCTTAATTTTAAAAGCGTCGAAATGTTAACGCGTCGCGTTATGTGACATTTTTGAAAAATTCGAACATTATCGCTGCAAAATTGTCATCGAACCACACGATACTGCGGTGCTCGATAACATAAAAGTTTTGTTCAGCGCAATAAATTCGAATAAAATTCGAATGCTGGACACATCCTGCGCCAGCGCTAACGTTACGACTGCAAAATTCTACCGGACCGCCGCTCAATTTCGCTAATAAACGCATCGACGAAGAAGCTTACGCTTCATAAATTCGTCGAGTTCGCCCGAATCGCGAGCGCACGCTCAGACACTTCGATCCGCGTGCGATAAAAGCGTCCGCGATCGATCGACCCGTGTAATCCTTCTCGAAGCGGAGCACACACACACACACACATCGTAGGAGCGAGAGGAAAGTGTTATCGCCGAAATTACAGCGCTATTGAAATCGAAGTACCGCGGAAACGTATCCAGGCGCGAAACTTTCGCGGGACGTGTACGCCTGTGCCGAGCGTGGATATAATTGAATTACCATAAAAGAAAGAAGAGAAAGAAAAGCGGGACGCTTATATATTGCTGCGGATCGGGGAGGAAAAGGGGAAGGGAAAAAAAGGGATCGGCATTCGGCGCTCGTTCTTGGCACGTGCGATCGGTCCCGGTGATTAATTGGAGCGAGGTGATATCGAGCTGGCGGTCGGCGAATGAAAAAAGAAAAAAAAAAAGAAAACGGGCCGATCAGGCGTCGCCGCCAAAGTCACCGGCGGCGACGACGCTCAAATGCGCCTCGCTTGCTCGCTCGAGCACACTCTCGACATTTTTCATAGCGCCCGTAAAAACCCGCTGGGCGCCGCGCCGCGCCGGACGATTTAAGCGACGTGTCCCGATTTCGAAAGCGTAATCACCCTTATTGCTTCGCAGATCCTGATGGCTATCTTGGTGGTGGCGGCCACATGCGCGCCGATGCCGGAACCGGCGCCGACACCGGTACCAGGCCCCCTGCCGCCGCCGCTGCTCGCCCCTTACCCGGTGATCTATCCGGCGCCTTACGTCAAGGTGTACCCGTATCATCCGGTTCCCCTGGCGTACTATAACAGCTACAAGTGGCTCCACCCGGGCTCGGCGTACACTTACTAAACATCGATTCGGGCCCGCCCCGGAGGATCGCCCCAGCAGCACGGCTCGTGGTAACCCCCCTCGATATAACGCGACTCACCGCAACGCGCCAAATGATTCTGTATCGTGGTAGAACGTTTCTGAAATAAAATATTCTCTCTTGTCGCAGACGCCGCAGTGTGCTCGACTATATGACGATCACCCCCCAGCTTCTTCTTCCCTTCCCTCCTTCTCTCGTTCTCACCCTCTTTCCCTCTACCAGCGTCTTCAACATCCGTTAATTCCGCTCCGCGAAAGAGGATCTCTCGTCCGAGCTTTTGGCAAACTCCGCGCTATCGAGCGGCCCATCAATTTCGTCGGTTTGTACGCCGGTGAAATTTATGAAACAACACGCATTATACCGCATAATCGCGCTGTTCGCGGACAAGTAATTCCGTTTTAGCCCATTATCCGCCAGCGATACATTTTCGGAATAGTACGTTAAATTTTGGTCCCGCATTCTCTGCGGTACGCGCCATGCCGCAATAAACAATTCCCCACGAATAATGTGAAGCAAATACGAAACAGATGTGAATAGATGTGTGAAACAACAAGATTAAATGCTCATAACGCGGGAAAAATATCTCTCTCCTCGCGGGATTTATTTTGGATCATTTTTACTTTCAATGACTCTCAGCCCCCATAACTTATCGTTGGATAATCTGAAATGATGTGACTGAATGAAGACAAATTACATAATAAAAACATGGGGGAAAAAGCGTCGCGTATTTCGCGTGGCAAATTTATAAATAATTTTATATGATGCTATACGTGAAATATCTGAAATTTTGAATAAATGGAATAATATAACGCTTCATATAAAATTGTTAAAAAATGGCCATGTTTTATATTGAATAATTTAATATTTTATGTAATAATTTTAATATTAAATATTTCTATATTTAATGATTAAATTATTTTGGAAATCAACATTTTTGTGGGTGTGATATCTAATGCTCTTGAAAAGAAAATTATATAAGTTTGAATATGAAATGCGCGTCACATTTAAATTCCCTTATCACAACCCGTAATGGATTAAATATGGATCTTTGTTGCGCATACAAATCTGCAAGAAATCGTGAAAATTTATCTTATACGCTATGTAAGATGTGTTAGAACAGCACATCAGCATACTAATGCGCACTAACGTATATAACACACACTGCTCTGATAAAGGATATTACGGCGATAGTAGTGCATAACCGTATCAAACTATTCCATTATTATTATTCCTTTAATTTCACCTTGAAGAAGAGAAACTAATGTATTATTAACTGTTCACGATATGGTCGTGCAATGTGACTGTTGCTACTTTACACTATTACAAAGAAATAGTACGTCTTTATCTTGTATTATCACAGAAAAATGCAATCTTCGATATTTTGACATTTTTGGTTTAAACGAAGAATTTAATTTCGCTTCATATGAATGATAAGTACGAGCAAACTCTTGCGTGCGAGTAGTTTCTGTTAGAAAAGCCTCCCCTTTTCTAAATAAATAGAAACAATTTATTTTTTAAAGTGTGTGAAAATAAGAGATCGCAAATTGGACAAGTGAGAAATGAAATGCATTAATGTTTAAAATCATGTACAATCTTCAAAATTTACATTTTTAGACAAAAAAACTGGATCACAAAGAAAAAGTCTTTGTGCCGCTCACTTGTCTGTTAATTTCCAACAAATCCCAATGTCAGCTTTATACGACATTCATAGCCGTAAAATGACACTCGGCACTCTCTCCCGCGCCTACGACTCGTTCAAGCTGTAATATTCGACACGGCAGCTGATAAGATAAACCGAGTGCGATGCAGCGAGCATCTCGTCGAATAGAAATACTTTCGAAAGGACGAACGATAAAGGCAGAGTCATTCCGGGAATGTTTCGCAGAGATGCTCGTAAAGCAAAACTCGGAATCTGCGCTACTTGCAGATCGCGTGTACACGTATACTGTACGCATAAGTTTGCGCATATGTGTGAACAAGACGGCAGTTATACGTCTCGCTTCGATATATCTATTATATCTATAATATCTATCTACATAGGAAAAAACAAAAAAAAATACGTTTACGCGCGCTCCGGTTTATTGCGCCCTCAGTAATGGTACGTGCGTACAATAAAATTGCTACTAGCATGGAAATATTGCGGATAAGGTCGGATAACGTCGGCAGACGTGGAATGACGAGCGGAAGGCATAAAAATCTTTTCGCAGGGCCAGCAAGGATATTATCTTTATAGCAGCGTTATTTTTTCCCTCTCTTTCACAAAGCGAGCCGCTGCTGCAGGAATTTGCATTCGCACAATAAGATTCACAGTTGGTTTTATATAATTAAAATTTTATTAAAATTCCATATGAACGAGGGTAGGGTTCAGGAATGATGGGCGGAAATGAGCCGGGTGAGAGTTCCGAAAGTTTTGTCGATGAAGTACGAAAAAAAGACAAAGGGGGATTTGACCGATCTCGCGCGGAGCGTTGGAGTCCTGTTTGATCCGCGTCCTTCTTTTGAAGTCTCGTTCTCCCCGTGTTGGACGGGCCTGATGGTTCACGCATGGAGAACGGCGATAAGAGTCGATGATGGGAAAAATTTGTCGTCTTTTTTCGAGAAACGGTCTTTCCTTCGTATTACGAGGTCAATTTTACGAGGAAGTAGGGGATGTGTGTCTATTTTTTTTCATCCAGGGCTGCGTCGTCGTGACTCGGTGGTGGTGATGAGTTCAGCTGGCTCTCCTAATTTAACCGTGCAGAGCGAGACCACCAATTCCAATTCCAAGTCCGTGTCCAGCCAAGACGGTCCTGGTGACGACCGGAGCGGTGTGGACAGCGGGAGCAATGGGCTGGGCAAGGACAACGGCGCCGTGGGAAATCGCCGGGCCGGCAGCGATGACCTGCGGGGCGGTGATCGGGCCGAGGCCAGAGCTGATGGCTACGCCGGTGAGACCACCGGGAGCGGCGAAAGCAACAGCCAGGATGGCAACGAAGACAGCCTACGAAAAAGATTGCGTGAGGTGGGTTTAGAGAGTCATATACTCTTCTTAACAGTCTTCTAATCCGTCCGAAAGTTATAAAGTATAAAGTGACGAGCTTGCGTTTAATGCGTCTCTTCCGTTCCGTATAGAATCACGATTCCGATTCGGTCAAAAGTTCACCGCAAGAAAATAAAGAGGAAACAATAAGAGTTAATTAAAATCGCACGGCAAATCGTGCCATTTACAATCGTCCGATCGTCCCGATCGCGTCGGCGGGCGAAGTGAGGTAAATTAAATGCGCGTCGCGCGCTAGTTATCGACCGATCGATCGCGTGCGATCCGGCGATCGAGCATCGTTTCGCAAGAAATCGCGAGAGAACACGAGGTTGATCGGTGGAGCTGCGTTAAAGAAAAAAAAAAATTTGCGCGAGTTGCACTGGCGGCGGCGACGGCATCACCGCTGCTGACTAACAATGTGCATGCTTCAGTGATTTCATTCGCGTAGATTTCTGCAAAGAGAGTTCGGATGCCAGAGTGAGACCGGTGAACGGCGTAAGGGCGGGTTCGTCGTCGTCGTCGTCGTGGTTACGCGCTCGCATGCCAAGGCGGAAAGGTCACAGCAAACGCGAAAGCCCCAAGGGGGGGAGAGGCCGCGGGAATCTTTTTTTCCTCGTGTTTACATATATGCACACCGTGGGATAGCCGCCCGTCTCTTTATCGATCACCGGGAGGCGCGAGAGAGGTCTCGACGACGAAAGAAGAGTCCCTTCCCCTCCCCCTTCCACCCTTCCCCCTTCCCGGACGACGGTGTGTTAGAGGCACTGTTTACTCGGAGGATGTACAGACGCGGCGCGTTATTCCGAGCCGGCGAAAAGGAAAATCTCGGCCCGGAGCTGGAAGATAACGGCGCGCCTCGCGCTCTAAAGCGGTAACGTCTTTTGGCGTGTATCTCCTCGGCGTAACGCCTCGCTCGGCATCGTAATGATTGATCTTTTTTTTTTTTCTTTACTGATCGAGCGGATGACGGACGGATGGGAATCGCGTTTGCGAGGAACAGTAATCGCGACCGACGCCTTCGTAAAATCAGTCGGCGGAAATACTGCCGCCCGGTTTGCAGAAAATTTACATCCCGGCGAAAATCGATCGGCGATTCTATTGTATTCGTGACGCGTATTCTTTACGGCATTTGCGTTTTCATCGATCAGTCAATATGAATATATTAGTCAGTCGGTGACGTCGAGTTGACGGAAATGCGAACGATCAGCAAATAAGCGAATCGCCGTCCCGTTCCGTTCGAACGTCTTGTAATTGTAATCGAAGAAAAAAAAGGAAAATATACAGAAAGATTATAATTAGATAAATCGTTTTAGCTTACCAGCTTGAACATGGTGATTGGTTGTGGATTGCTTGTTACTCGGAAGTAAGTCAGCTTATGTCTGTTTCGGCGTCTCGGGAGTCTTATATACCGCATGGGATTTTTAAAAATCGCCATAAAATTGATCACGTGACTGGCGGTGTCTGCATGACGGCTGTATGCCGGTCAGTTGAGTCAGCCGATCGCTGGGCATGATGGTGATGGTGGGGTGGCTGGTAAACCAATCGTCTCCGCGAGACCGGTCTGATCGTCCCACCGGTTCGCCAATAATGCTCTTTCAACCCCTCGCGGCCGATCGCGAGAAATTGGGTTAAGACACTCCGTGTGTTGTAAGGTACCGGTACACGCAGGCAGAGAACCGATATCTCACCTCGACACGACGACACGCGCAACGGCGCGAGTGTGTGCGAGTAAGTGCGGGGTAAGTGCGGGGATACTTATGCATACGGGAGAAAAATCGCGACTTGTGTCCGCCGCCAGATGCAAATTTGTTTCATAAAGATGCAAGCCAAGGTTTAAATCTACCGACCTTTTTCCTCGTATATATATATATATATTTTTTTTTTCAAATGTGAGAGCGTTTGTAGAAGAAGTCTCGAAATGGAGCTTAGAGAGAAGAAACTTCGTTCCAGGAGCATTTTTGCGAGGAGTAAGGAATCTATTTGTAAAAACTTCGCGGGAATTAAAGTCGCGATGCTGAACTCCATGGATTTTAATTGGAGAACTGTAGTCAGATGTCAGTTAAGTGCAATATTTTGAAGTTTCTTGCGGAAACATTTCGCAAAACAATCGCGCACGAAGACTAAGATATTTATAGGATGGCCGTGTGCCAATGCTTTGCCTAGGTAGTTATATGAAATATTTGATGCATCTAAGTAATTAAATTTTAAAAGTCATAAAAAATGTTTTCTCTCTATCGAAAACGAATAAAATTACAATAATATACACATAATATTTTTACAACAGTAAAATTTTAAATGTCGTTTTTGTAACTCAAAATATCTTATTATTTCTTAGCGAGAGCACTTAACTAATATTTGACTTGTACCATTCAATGTTCGGTACAGATACAAACGTATAATAATACTTCGTATCAATTGTCATGAATAAATATCAATATTATTCTGGAATCGAAACTCTGATCGATCGAAATAACGCGGGCATTGATCAAACTTTACAATCCAACTGATCGTCATTCTTTCCGAATTAAGTTATTTATTCCTGTCGTACTTTGGAAACGTACGGAAGTTCGACGCGACGATCGGGGGCAATCACGGAGATTAGAATAGTTCCTGTCATTCGCGAAGTCGAGCGAGTCTGAAATTAGGGAAAGAGCAATTTAATCCGCGCGACACATAGAGCGGCAGATCCCCGCGCGGCGAGAGTCTCTGGAGATTTCCCCGTTCCGGGGCGCGCACGAAATGAAACTTTTATCAATGGGAGGGTATTGCGTAAAATTAACACCGGATTGGATAACGCGCGCGCGCGCGCGCGCGATATGGCTCGGATTACGAATGCGAGCGTTTCGTGAAACGGTACAGCGGCATGGCGCGATAACAAGTGCGATCAAATATCGCGGGTCAAGTCGAGACTCGTGGTAATCTTCTCGTGGCGTGTCTCCTCGAGTGTGTGGGCGTACGTGTGTGGGCGCGGTGCGGAACAACAGATAAAGAGACCGACATGCGAAATACGTTTATTTGTCAAACATGGGCCCGTTAATGTTTCAAGGTAAATCAACGAGCAAGCAAGTTGAAATCATCCTCTCCGATCTCGCGTCGATTCCGAACAGTTAAGAGATGGAGATATAAAGTTAATCATCCGTGGCGAGAGAACGTTGTGCATGCGTGTGTGTTTGTGTACGTCTTAGATGATAATATCTCACAATACAGACACACGTATATACATTCCTATACAATCCGTGAGATCGTAACGAAAATGAGATCCCGCAAAAATTCTCAGCGTTTTCGGGGAGCTCCGCTTTTATCCGACTTATTGAAAGTTTCAATAAGGGGCCACGGTGAAAATAACGTCGCTCGCAAATGGAATATTTCCTCCCCGTCCGCGAAATTTATTTCGCCAGATAACACGCGCTCGTGTAATTCAGGATTCGCGTTCGCATCGTTCGCGGGCGAGCTCGCAGCAATGACACTGCACAGTTTGATCCGAGGTGGTCCAGATCCGACGCGCGCGATGCGCGTCCCCTCGGATTTCTGTCTCTCGGGTCTGTCGGGGCGTCTCTCTCACGGACTTCCCTTGCTCGCTTCTCGTCGCGAGGCGTATGCGACAGGAGGAAGATATATTTTCAGCGCTCTCGGCTGCAGCGCTCGTCGATCCGCATGACAAGAGCGGGAAGATACATTTGCGCACGTGGGTAGGCGAAAAGACAATTCCTCCCCTCAAGCAAGTTTGGTTGTCTCGCAATTCACGGAAGATCGATCGCCCTCCGAAGATCCTATAAAACCTCCTTCCTCGGATTCGCGGCCTCATCCCTTGTCTTCTAATGTGAAATTGATAGCGCGGTCTTATCTTTCTTAAAAAAAAAAATCGAATGTGCACGCGCCCTTAATAAGTTTTTCCACTTGCCCAACCTTCTTCGTTATTTGGCTATAGTGAGATAATTTTTTTTATATACCGGGAGCTTTTAACTCTCTGGCCTCTCGCACGAGCACCATTCGGTAGTCGCGCGAGCAGATGCCATCTTTACGACATCGCGCGAATAGATAGTAATAATTTGTGCCCATGAATGAGAGATACGAAGGCTACATATATATTTTATTCTCTCGTAAAACGGAAGTGTCACGTAAGGAGCCACGCGGTTATCATTTGCATATAAAAGTCAATTTATGCAAACGTGCGTGATTTTCATACGGAATCAGCTCGGATGTGAAAACTATGCGTTTAGCGACAGTTAATAAATCGTTCACGATAATGACGCGGGTAATGCGAATAATGCCGTATGCGCGTTGCGATATAGCAACACGCGGCACACGCTGAAACGCATTGTTCCGCCTTATTAATATCCCATTTATATATTACATGATAAATTTCGAGTGTGGGTATTAACGTGTGCCCATTACCACGATCGATATGCCATAATGGTAACGCGCCGATAATGTGTGCGTTACACCGCACAGTCTATAATTATTGTCCGTGAGCGCATTGCATTGCTGATGAGAAATAAATATGTCACGGTGGAACCCGTTACGGGGCTGCCGCAAGAAAAGCGTTAGATTTCATCAGACGTAAAGGACGGATTTGTATACACTTTTAGTAACCTTAACTGCGTTAAGCCAATAAAAAAAGAGTGACGTAAGAATTCATCAATATCTCGTTGGCTGTCCAGATAATTATATGTAATTTCCCGGTTTTAATTTATCCGGTTCGCGCATAACAGGTTTGCCCCTGGAAAAACTCCGGACACTTGTCAAATAACTCATTCCGGTAACATGCCGATTTACAGCGGCACGCGTATGACCGCTCATTTGTTAGATTTGAGGCAATCTTAGTCCCGCTTTCAATGTCCGATATCTTAAAAATCGGAAGATCGGTGTAAATGATATCCGTCTCTGAATTAGCATACGCGATACGCGGTCTGCGCGGCTGTGCGCGTCCGCGGGTAGAGAGCACACGCATATCAAACACCTTCCCACACTCTGCGTTATCCATTCACACACGCTGTCCCCGTGTGTTAGATATAAAAAGCGGACGAGTATAATGGCACGTACCTGTCCAGGGAGACCGCTACCAAGCTGTAGACGGAGGCCGCCACGGAGACGCCCTGTATGTAAGCGACCGCTTTGCACATGAACCATCCCAGGATCCACGCTGAAACACAAGTCCGTAATTTATCGTTTTGAGTGTCACTTTTCGAGTGGAACTTCGGGCGGTCGCCACGACGAGTGGCGGTCGAAGGGCTTTTTAGGGACTATACTGCGGGACTATTCAGTCGACTTACGAAGGACCGAACGTATATACAGTGAGGAACGCTAAAGTCTAAGGGCACTCTCGACGAAGATACTAATTGTACCGTATTACAAACGAATAAAAAAAGAAACACGAACACTCGGAAGTTCGTTTAAGTGGATTCTTGTGCAATATTCAATCTTACGTAGCTAGCTTTTTGGAAAAATTATGATCGTTTCGAGAAGATCGGCGGGGATTCTATTCGCAATTTTCAATTGTAACTACACGAACTAATTAATGGGAGTTTGCGGCTCATTGAGCGTCCCTATAACGCTACAATGGTTTAAAATACGTTAATTAGGTTATCCGATTGTGCGGATAATTTAGATTGTTCAGACGACACGAATAACAGTGCAGAGATGTTAAAAATAGCAAAGATATTATTTATACTTGAAATTGCTAATTGATACATGCTCGATTGCGTGAGTCAGCGTGTCGCAGTGGCGTCAGCGTGAGAAAAATTCACGCTGCTTCATTTAATCTCGTTGTAACACATATAAATAAATAATGTATTTTCTAGAAGTCTCGTTATTTTTTGAACAAAATAATATCGGAACGATAGCATTGCGCGCGCGTGCGCGCGCGAACGGTAGTACAAGTTACATATACAACATTATGAATCCGAGTGACCTATTTTCGAGAAAAAAGCAGGCAACGTAAGCGCGCGTATCAATTTTATTGCCCGTCACTTTTCTATAACGCGCGCAACGACCATTATATCCGCTTTCAAGAGGGAAATAATTAATCCCACGCCCGAAAATGAAGGAAGCTTTAAAACAAGGGGGAACTTTCAACTAGAGCCATCCATCATTGTCCGCGATTGATGATACGGTAAATAATTATCTCACATAATACAATATTGAAGGTATTTGGTAGTATAATATATGATCGATGGGAAAGTTTATCGCGTTCTCAGAATAATAGGACTATACGCGGCGGCGGCGGCGGGGGCGGGGGAGAGGGGTAAGGTAGGTCCATCAAAGGAAAGGTCGCTCATAAATATCGAGCGTCTATCTACCGTGTAACGTCGCATCGAGGAACGCGCGAACGAGAGGGTTATCAGTTATTCTCGATTTCCGTGAGTGTGCGTGAGACTCCACCCTCCCTTCCCCTTCTTTCTGATGTGATCATCGCTAGTCGATCGGTATCCTCGGCTATAAGGGTTATCGCGCGCTACTGCGATTTCGAAGAGCCATGCCGTAAATCCTAAACGGTTATGAAACGGAGCGGAATGGAACGAAAAGGATTCGCTCTCTCTCTTTCGCGCAGGATGCGCGATATAGACGCCGCCGATAATGAATAGCAACGTGCGATCGTCGGGCGGGTCGGCGCGAGTCGGTGCAGCGTAGCGGCGGAGCTGGGTTATAGGGGCTGGGGCGTGTATCACCCAGGGGATGGCGAAACGCCTGTGTTTAATTCGATCGATGTTCCGCTTGCTCTAATCGCGCGACGACACGTTCGGGCGGTGTGCGGCGGTCGAGCACACCGCGCGCGCGGCGCGGGTCCGACCGGTCGGCGTGGAGCATTGTACGCGCGCGAAGTGAATGGCGTAATAACGCACGAGGTCGCATAGAAGGGAACCTCCCGTGCGGCACCGCAGATTGCGACTGTTAAGCCGATAATTATTTATTCCGTCGAATACATAATTTCTTCGATAAAGCGAGTCCGACTATCGTATTGCATTAATGCATCCACTCGCGAGAGATAATGGACAATGCGAAGTTGCACGCGGGGGAGGCGGGGAGGGGGGGAAGGGAGGGATATAACGTTAACGCTCGCGGCGGGAAATAGGCATCGACGAAGTAATTTCTGTAAACTAAGCCTCAAGAATACGTAAAGAGAAAAAAATTATAATTATCATTTCCTGCAGTTAACATCGAGTGAAAATCTCAGCGGGATTTTCATTCAAAACGCTTAATGTTAACTTTTATAAAATTTCAAAAGAGCATCCAGATGTAAAAATTAATTTTTCCTATCCACCGTTTAATTGAAGGCTCTATACATTCTATTTCGCGGGAGCAATTAACTCTCGGACATATAAAGCGCTTTTTTTCTGCATAATATTAAATCAAATATAATACTGGGGATCTCGAAGACTCGTGAGGCGTACGTGAGAGTTTAAATAAAATTATCGCGTATCCGGCGTCTCGTAAAAAGACGACGGTAGGTCTCGGCGAATGGGACGAAATTAAAGAGACCTCGAAAAGTTCGGATCCAATTCGGCAATTCGATCCTCCGCTCCGAAGCTCAGAAATTCGCTTTCGCTCGAAATGCCATGTCCCGTTTGATTCGCCTAGTCTTGATTCGAGTTGTAACTTCCGGTTATATAATTTCGAACGACGGGGACCTTGGTACGCCGTCGGAGCTTGCCGACGAAAATATCGTGGTCATTGTCGCGCTAATACGTACTCGCGTCACGGATGACGGAAGTTAGATCTCGCGTCGCGCGCGGGTGGAAACTTTCGCAGAATTCACTCCTTTCGCGGAGGAAGTCCCCGGCCTTTACATTTCGGACACACAGACCCGGCGGCTTCCGATGGGACATTCAGAAAAGTTTTCCGCTGAATAACGCGCGATCGTATACGTGATATACCTACTCGCGCCCGGGACTTGCGCGAAGTTTCCGAGTAAACCGTTTCGGAATAAACGTGTGTGGGAGCGGATCGTCGGGACGAAATCAATCGTCCCTGTTTCTTCTCGCTCTTCGGAACACGTATCGCTCCAAAATCTTTCGCTGTCGGGAAGAATTTTACCGGCCGGCCGCGGACACGGGTAGAACGGGACCAACATATTTGGACCGCGGAATATACTATATAGAGTTCATCAGGGTGGTTGATACGCCGGCGTGAATAACTTATGACAGGAAAAAAATAGCCTCGTGCCACATAGAAGCCGTTTATTGGTCGTCCGTAGGTATGTAATTACATAATCGTCCCGCGCGGCTCAGTATTTTCCCTTCTGTTCCACGGCGAAAGAAATGTCGATTGCGCCACTTTATACAAAGGCTAACGCACGTAGAACCAGTTTCATAACTCCAATGCAACGTGCAATAACGATTGATAATGATGATAAACGCTCGGCCAACTTCGTGGAAAGCGATTCGAGCACACGTGGATTATTTTTATTTACACTCCCACCCGGACGGGATATTTCTCAACGGAGAGACAAGGGCGTTGATAAGGCTTGCCCGGCGCTAATGCGGCTATTCGCTATTTTTCGTTACTTCAAATTAATGCTTTGTCATGTATTGAACTTGAAAATACACGAAAAGTCTTGGCCAATTGGCAATCAAGTTGCAGTGTCTCATTAGTTCAGGTTTTCTCTTTTCCATTCGTCTAGCCGTCAATAATAATATGTAATTTTCTAGTCAAAGCTGTCATTTATATTTTACAGTATAGTTAGTAGTTAGTCGTTGGCTATTATGTTAGAGTGAAAATTGAAACACGATAACTGTGGAGAACGGCCTTGGCCCATTTTCGTCGGATCCACCGCCTCTTTGTGCGCGAAAATGTTTTATTCCATTGTTTTGATGGAGTTACGCAGTCAAATGTTTTTACAAAATTCATATACCTTTGGTGCAGGGAGTGCATGGCACACCGTTTGAAACAGCAAACAAGAAACGTGCAGAAAGTGAATGTAAATGCATTTTGAGCTGTGGCGCCGAATAATAGAACCATTGTTGTAAAATAAGGACAATTCGTGACTTTATCGTGCTCATAATTTTCGAACACCTCCTATCAAGTTCGCCCATCAAATTCGCCTGCACTTAACGGAATATCTCCCATCGACCTTCTTTTTTTTAGTTGCAACCTTTCTTTGCAATCCTTTTTACAGCCATCGTCTCGATTGAAGCTCTATCGCGCGGTACGAAAAACGTTTCGCATTTCTAAAGTGATGGGAGAGTCTAGTTAATCTCGAGAAACGCGCAATGTCGTGCGTTAACGACGCTTTTTCCGCCGGCGGCCTTCGGTATAAAAGGGAGGAAGAAAAAAAAATATCGCCGCTTTTAATTGTCCACTGTGGAAACAAGGTCCGATTGATCGATCGCCAGTAGCGAATTATCGCAAAGTCACGTTCGCGATTTTATAAATGTCAAATTTTTACAATCACCTCGCCCGCGCGTGCACGCGCGCTGCACGTGTGTGACGCGCGAGAACGCGTTTGTGTATATTATAGATGCAATGTATATACGCGTGCAATGCCGTCTCTGCATATTACTTTCACTGTCTACGCTCGATTGGATAAGCCGCGCTGGCGAGGTATAATCCACGCACCGGTGGCGTGGCTGTGACCCGCGCGACCCACACCACACAGCCGCACACTATCGCTGCACCGCGCGCTATCGGCGCGCTATCCGCTTACAATTAGCGTGAACGGGAAGAGTAGCCTGGACAGGTTTTTTTTTGCTGCTTTTTAGCGGGACCCAGAAGTGTAGCATTACCGTAACGCGATCCAGTTACGGGGGATGGGGACAGTTAAATAGCAAGAGCCACGTTGGGTATCGATTAACTGAAAATGAATTACAGTCCTTTCGGACGCTCCCCGAATACGTTCGCGTCTCATTGATTCGATTATTGTGCAATGCGAAGGGCAAAAGCATCCCCAAGCAGAAACGAGATAACGTCTCTATTGAGACATACGAAATTTTCTCTATTGATTTCTTTTCCCTTCTTTTTTTTTTAGAGCGCGCTAAATTTTCCGAGAACCATATTGAAGATATATATCACGGCTGTGAATGAAAATGTCAAGTTTAATACTTTTTACCAACTCGCCGGTGAATTTTACTTCACGGTCTTTAGATTGGAGTCGGGCCAACTTAGGTTAAGGGCCAGATCGTAGATTAAGTTAAGACCAGGGTCGTC